TGTTGCCTTGCGTCAGGCCAGGCCTGCTACGGTGCATGCAGCCACAGGGCCTTGCATTGGCTGCTCTGCCATTGCTACCACTGGCAGTAGCATCATCATCATCACCGTCATCATTCAAATCATCGTGCGTGGCTGATAGTGCATACTGCGAATCAAAACAAGACGAAAAGGGTAACTGCATGCCTAAGAGGTTTCCCTCGCGTCTCCCTGCTGCTCCGCCTATTGCCGTCCGTTCCCCACCACAAACACTGTTCACCGACGCTACAGTGACTGCTGCTGCTGTAGCAAACCACTCGGGGGAGCAAACAGATGCAAGTGCAGACAAATCAAGCCACCCATCTAAACCTAATGACCCAACACTGCTGCTCACATTAGCACCCACCCCACTAGTTCTACTCCCAACTCCTCGCCCGCCACAGCTGCTACAGAAACTACTCATGCGTGCTGCTGCAGCTGCTACAGCCGATGGCCTGCCATGGCCGCACGCGCTACAGCCGTGGTATCCCCCCTGCAGCAACATGGGCTCGTCCGTGTCTAGCAGCCGATCGCCGCGCCACCTGCACCTGCTGCCTCCCCCCCGCCCCGGAATCCGCGCACTGCTGCTGCTGCTGTTTCCGCCTGCGTTCCCGGACCTGTCCCGCAGCTTCGGAATCCGAAGCTCATCGCCGCCTCCACTGACCAGCGGGACAGCCTCGGAGAGCGAGTCAGAGCTACCGCCAGTCCTGTCATAATCATATTCGTCAGAGTCACTCTCAGTACTGTCTCTCGCACTACTGTTGTCACCCCTACGATCCCCTTCCTGAGCATCACCCTCGCTTGAAGCAGCCCCGTTAGAAGAACTAGCACCAGGCATGGCATCACCCGCACCAGCAGCGCCCTCCTCCGCCTTCCCCTTTCCCTTATCTCCCACCCGTGCCCCCTCCTCTCCTTCACCCCCAAGCCCCTCAACAGCCCACGCCTTGCCTTCGGGCTGCTTGAGAAACTTCAGAAACCACCCGAACGGGCGCTCCTCCTCCCCCCGCCACAGCCTCCCCGCGCCCACCTGGCGGAACTTCTTCTCCAGTTCCGCGTGCAGCACCTCTAGAATCGCCACCTTTTCAGACACCACCATCTGCGCCTCGACCAGCTTTAAATGCACGTTGTGCTCCCTCCAGTTGTCCGCGCGCGCGAGTTGCGCGCGCTCCAGCGTGATTTCCTCCAGCAGCTGCCTCCGCGCGAGCTCCGCCGCCACCGCCAGCCGCTCCGCCAGCTCGCGCCGCTCGCGCTCGTCCGCGGTCTCGCGGCGCGAGGAGAGCAGCGCGTTGTTAAGTTTTGCGCAGGCCTGCCCGAGACGCTCCTTTTCCATGCGCTCGCGCACAAAATCCAGCCCCGCCTTCGCCAGTACCGCCTGCATCTCCGCCACTTCAGCCTTGGCGTCCGCCAACTCCCCGCGCAGCTCCGACAGCTCCGCCGACTGCTTCGCGAGCTGCTGGAGCAGCTTCGCGAACTTCTGCGAAGCCGTTAGCGACGCCATGTTCACGACCGCGGACGACGGCGGGCGCGGGTGGGGAATCGGGTGCGCGGCTTGGGGCGGAGCGAAAGAGAAATTGGGGAAAGCGGAGGGCGCGGAGGGGGACGTGGGCGGGGAGACGGCGGAGCGGGAGGACGCGGCGGCGGCGGAAGAGAGTGTGGGGCTGGTTCCGCCGGAAAAGGTGGTGCTGGTGACCGACGAGGCGGAGGGAAAGGGCGCGTGGGAGAGCGCGAGCAGCGCCAGGGGATTAAGGTTCGGGGGAGGGGAGGGGGAAGGGGCCCGCTGGGGAGCAGCCGACGACTCACTCCCAGTATCGTCCTCCTCCCCCTCGTCTCCTTCCTCGCTCTCCTCACTCTCCTCACTCTCATCGCTCTCTCTATCATCCATCGAGTTTCCTTCTAACGAGTTAATTGTAACCGCACCCTCCCTTACACACGTCTCCTCGTCATGCTCCCGCCATTGCCCCTCTTGCCGCTCTAGCCTCTCTAGCCCTTCTTGCCCCTCTCGTCCCTCTTGCCCTTCTTGCCGCTCGTGCTGCGCGCCGCCATGCCCCACGTCCGCCGCTGCATGAATTACCCGGCTAACCCCTTCATCTTCACGCGCTCTAGATTCGCCGAATACTGTTTCGCATGCGCCACCTTCACCAGATCTCCCTTCTCCGCTCCTCCGTTCTCCGCTACTACCTTCACCAAATGTACCCTCCCTATTATCAGCTTCAGTACTTCTAACTCCCCCGGTACGGCTTTCCCCAGATCTCTCGCAGTTTCCGCTTCCGCCAACCCTTTTGCGATCTTCACCTACGGCGCACCTACCTGCACCGTTTGTCTCCGCCTCTGTGACCGCAACGCCCGCTTCGCTGCCTCTCTCACATCTGGCCGCCCCCGGGCTCGACCTCCCGGTTACGATCGAAAGCGACAATTCACACGCTCCTGCGACATCGCTTCTGTCGCAACTGTCGCGCGCAGGAATCGCGTCGCTAGTCGCAGAGGTATTGAAAGTCGTTAAGGGGGTCGGTGGTGTCGCCGGGCGAACGTCGTCCTCTCCTCGCGACGCGGCGGCTGTTCCGGCGGTAAATATCGGCGCGCTGCCGTCTACTTGGAACGCTGGGCGGTTCAGCGATGGGAAGACTGAGCCGTGCGGGGGCGCGAACGGATTAGCTGTTGCTGTGACGCTATCAGAGGAGATACTTTCGAAGGTGATTACGGGTGCGACTTTGCGAGACGCTGCTGCGTTGCTGAAGATATTAAAGCGGCTCGGCGTGAATAATTGCGACTGTGAGGATTCTGCGGCGGCGTCGGCGGCGGCGGCGGCGGCGAATGGGGAAGGGTTTCCGTCTGTTCTTTGTGCAGATCGCGCGGAAATCTTACCCCGCTGCTGCTCCTGCTGCTGCTGGCGCTGTTTATCAGCGGAGCGGATGCGGCGGAGGTAGCGGCGGGCTGCTGGGATCCGCGCAACGGGGAGAGGCGCGGAAGAGCCGGGGGAATCTGAAGTATCCATGAGATATACTGCGGCCGTAAATGCCACCTGGCGGGAGAATTGGAGCCGGACCAGCCGACCCTAAATTCACCCTACACGCAGAAGTGGGGAGTGAGGAAGTGGCAAACCTGAGCGAGTATCACATATCGAACCCTAAATTGCTCATGCACGTCTTGGCACAACTAACCATGACGCGAGGGGGAAGAAGTGAGCGTGCAAAGGCCGAGGAGGAATCAAAGCTGGCAACTTTGCTGTTCGATGCGAATCACGCGGCGATTGGGAAATGGGGAAGGAAGGGAGGAAGCCAGTGGAGGGAAAGGGTGGGGGTGGGTGGGTGACGTGGCTGGCTGCTTTCTGTGCTCACGTACACTGGTCTCTGCCACAGTGTCATGTCGTGTCCAGTCGAGTCATCGTCGTCATCGCGTGTTGTGAACTGCACTGCTGTGCGAACGCGAAGGTGGCGCGGCGGACTGCTTGCAAACTCTCAACTCGATTTCTGTCAATTTGGGCACAGCTTGGACACCCTACACGCAGTATACAGTACATAGCGCGTTTCATTTTTGAGTCAGACCAGCAATTTCAACAAACACCACCCTACCATAGGATACAGCAGCTCACTGTACAGATCTACTCTCAAGCCGTTTTCTTGCATCCACTGTCCCCAGAATTGCTTCATACTGTGATCCCCGAACCCTCGCTTCCCACCCAACAGGCCACTCTTCCTTCCCGGAGTATATACTGTATATGTTTGTCTAAGAAACCCTTTCAATTCTCAGGGGGACGGTGACCTGCAATGCAGGGGTGAGAAATCAGGTGCAAATAGCCCCGATTTCCATAAATCTCTCTCGTCACCTCCCCACCCCATCTGCTGCATTCCCCCTTTGCGCACCAGCATCCCCTCCTCCTGCCCACACCCAGCCCCAGCCCTTTGCCCATGCGGTGAAAACAAATCATCAGGAACATGGCTGACTTCTGGCTTCTACATCTGAAAAAGCGACAAAACGTCCACTGTCAATGGGTAGCAGACAAGATAGGCTGGCACAAAATAACAAGACTTACAAACCCCCGACTGATTGTTATTCGCCATACGGGGCACGGCAGTTTCTGACGTTTTCGTGGCGGCCCAAAGCCACCTGGGCTGGCGAAGAGAACGTCGGGATGTCGTTCTTTAAAAGCACACAATACGACAAAATGGGAAATCGCGATGAAGATTCCGAAGCGACAGGGAAGCGATGGGTGCTGCTGTGCTGTTGAGCTCTCCAATTTTAGACATTACTGCTACTGTAGAATAACAGGACACTCTTCTAATCTCTTGTGTACACTACTAACTTCTCATCTAGGATGCCAGAGCATGTTATCTCAAACATACTGGTAAGGCATGTTACACTCACTGTTTTTTACGCTACGTGTATATGCAGGCCAGAGACAATGTCACCTAAGTCTCAGAACAGCAAGGTAGCACCACTGTATATTGAAGTTAATCTTGGTTGAAGCACTACCCCATGAAACCAGCGCCGGATGTGGGCTGCTTCATGGGGCGCACTGTCTGCCCCTTGGCCTCTGCCTCCACCTGCTGCCGCTTCTCCCTCTGCCCCATGCACCACAACCCCGCCCGGCCAAGACACGCGGAGAAAGAGACAAGAAGGAACATTGGGAAAGGCACACATGCATGGCAACGTGCAAGGGATCGAAAACACCGAGAGGCTAAGTAGGTGCATCCCCTTATGGCATGTGCATCCCCCCTTTGTCCATCCCCCCATTGATGCACACCCCCCCATGGCATATGCATCCCTCCATGGCATGTGCAACTGACTCCACCCAAAGCCCACACTCACTCCTCAATACTCAACACTCAACCTCACAACGCACCTCCTACCGCTGTGCCTGCGCGGCGCTCTTGACCAGCAGCATGCTCCAGCCATGAGACTTGACCAGCATGCTACCCACGGTAGCTGGCTTGGTTCTCGGGGCAGCAGCCTCACCACACACAGCCCAACTCAGCTCACCATACCATTCAGAACTCCCCACTGCTCCTCACCTCCTGCCGCCGCGCCTCCACCGTGGATTTAACCAGCATGTTATCCAGGTAGCTGGCGTAGTTCTTGGGGCAGCGGCGGCGGAACTCCTTGAAGTGTGCGTCGGCCTGCTTGGTGTCGCCCATGAGGGAGAACACAAGCCCCTTGCACAGGTACGGCCGGAAGTCACTCGGGTCACTTGCACTGATGGCGTCGTACTGCGCTATGGCTGCCTCCACGTTGCCCTAAAAGGGAGAGCAAAGAATAGCACGGGCAGAGCATATGGCAGGTGAATGGCATGAGAAGGCGGGGCGGATGCGGCGGAGGTATGGCAGCTATGGAAGGCGGAGAGCAAAGGAAGAGCATATTGCAAGAGAATAGCACGGGCAGAGGATATGGCAGGTGAATTGGCATGAGAATGGGCAAGGGTCGCAGCTAATGAGGGCCTGCTGCTGCTTGCCACAGACTCCAAACCCCCAACCCTGCCCATAATCCACAAGCCCCAACACCCCACAAACAAACCCCTCCCCTCCCCCTCCGCCCCTCCCTCCCTGCCCCCTCTTCTCATCCCTCCCCTTCACGATCCCCCTTCCCCCACCTGCAGCGCGTGCAGCTGCCCCAGCAGCATAGCCTCCTGCTGCTTGCCAAGGGCTCAAAACCCGCAACTCTGAGCCCGCTGACACCCCACCACTATCCCCGCAACCCCCCAGTCTGCACCCCTGCACCCTTCCCTTCCCCCACATGCAGCGTGTGCAGCTGCCCCAGCAGCATCTTGAGGTTGGTGGCCTCCTGCTGCTTGCCACAACCTCCAAACCCCCAACCCTGTGCCCCTCACCCTAGTTTCCAGAAACGTAGAAAACCCTGCGCCCCCACACACACCTGCAGCGCGTGCAGCTGGCCCAGCAGCATCTTGAGGTTGGTGGCCTCCTGCTGCTTGCCCGCCTGCCCCGCCTTTCCCACCGCCTCCTCCACCATCCCCAGCACCAGGCTGTCCTCGCCGCTGCGCCGCATCACCGTTGCTAGGCCCTGCGCGAGGGGGAAAGGGGGGGAATGGGGGAAGGGAAAAAGAGTCTTAGGTGCGTCACTTCTCACCACCTTCCCCACCGCCTCCTCCACCATGCCCCACACCAGGCTGTCCTCGCCGCTGCGCCGCATCACCGTTGCTAATCCCAGCTCCAGCACGCGCAAGGTGTGCGGGGAAAGGGGGAAGGGGGAGGGGGAGAGATGGCGGATGGGCGTGGTGGGACAAGAGAGACGTGGCGTAGAGGAGGGTTGAGGCGCGACATTTGAGAGGGTTTTGTGTGCCCTTCGTTTGACGGAAAGTGGACTAACGAGAGAGTGTGTTCACCCAGGGAGTGTGGGGGACGGCGGGGACGAGGGGCTGGGAAGGACTTCAGAAGGGGGTGGCAAAAGGCGCCGACAGAAATGAGGGAACGCGGATGTGACGGAGGAGGGAGGAAATGAAACACACGCGCAGCAGGGGCGCACCTGGAGCGCGCGCGCGGAGAAGGGGTCGACTTTGAGGATGTCCTGGAAGCCCTTGCGCGCCGCCTGCAGGTCCCCCACGAACTCCTGCGCCTGCGCGCGGATGTACTTCCACTCCATGTCGTCCGGCTCTATCTGTCGGGGTGAATACGAGGGGGGGGGGGGGAGGTGCAAGGGGAAGGTCAACTGACACGATCGCATGCGCGCGGATGTACCTCCACTCCATGTCCTCCGGCGCTATCTGCTCCGCTTCAAGGGAGAGGGTGCAGGGAGGGTGAGGAGATAGCAGCAGGAAGGTGGAGTTCCTCGTAGCAAAACAATTTTCTGCGCCTGTCCGCGGCGGATGTAGTTCCACTCCACATCGATAATACTTGCTTTTGAGATTTTTTACGAGGAAAGGCTCATGCCTGGAAAGAGGGCGTCATACTACAAGAGCAATTGCCTCTGCGGTAGGCACTTGCTGCTCGCCATTCCCGTCGGTCCATCGATCATTATGCGTTCGCGTGAATTCAACCTGGTTCATTCAAGAGCAGATTCATTCAAGTTGTTGTACTATTGGTAGGTGTGTTTGTGTGTCTGTGTGTGAGCGTGTTGCGTGCATGCGCGGGATGACCTCCACGAGCTGGTCGAGGATCTTGATGACCCCCGCGAAGCCAGTACGCTCATATTGTACCATCGACTGATGTGTGTGTGTGTGCATGTGCGCGTGTGTGGGGTGCGTGTGCGCGAGTGCGCGTCTCACCTCCACGAGCTGGTCCAGGATCTTGATGCCCCCCGCGAAGTCCGCGCATTTCATGCGCACGCGCAACAGCATGCGCAGCGCCGTCACGTCGCGCGGGTGCTTCGCCAAAAAGTCCTCCAGCATCTTCACCGCGCGCTCCTGCTCCTCCGCTTGCGCGCGCGTGCTTTCCGCCGCCTCCTTCCCCCCCGCCTTCCCCCCGTCGGGGGTCTGCCGTCCCACTATCGGCGTGGGCGGCGGGGCGAGCGGCTTGTCGGCTTTAGCTTGCGCCGCGCGCGGCAAGCCGAAGGCTAGGCTGAGTGCGACACACGTGCCGACGAGGAACGACGGGCCGTATCGTCGCACGCGTGCGGCGAGATGATCGGACACGAGACGTTGGAAGTTGTCGCCATCGTCGCACGGAATGGAGTCAGCGCGCTCGGCGACGGATACAGGCGACGTCGCAGCTGATTTGGAACCATCTGATTGGCTGGAGGAGCTGAAGAGAGGATATGCTACGTTGTTCAACGACCGTGCGCGTTCCTGAAAAGTAGGAAACGATGCCTCGTTTGTCGGACCGTTATTAGCTGACGAAGGCGAATGCGATTCGCACGTGCAGCAAAGCCGCACAGATCCACCACTGATCGCGGCGGGAACGGCGGTCACGGTGACGGATGGCCGAAGGCGGAGCTGCAGATCTCTCGCGAATAGCGACACGCGCGACGCGGTCCCGGACGGGGAAGGAGGCGCGAGGAACGCCATCACGGATTGGCGAAAAAGAAAGGAATTTACGAACCCGACAACACTCTACGTCCTAAGAATGGGAGAAGTTGACTTCCGTTCGCGCGCACCGTCGTCCCTAACGAGGGCACGAAAGCATACAAGGCAGGAGGACTAAATGAGAGGAGAGACGGCAGTGGGTGAATGGATGACATGGCAGCATACTCAGGCAGGGGAGTGAGGTTCTGGGTGTGGGGATAAGCATGGTGAGATGGCGGGAAAATGTTTTTTGTGGGACGCGTCAGCTGCCAGCAATAACAACTCATGAAGTGACGTCAAACCACATAAAAGTGTTGGTTTGCTGATTGACCAAATCAACCATACGCAGGCTTCCACTGTAAACTTTTTTGTGTCGAAACAGGCTGTAACGCAGAGTCAAGATGAGCAAGGGCGGGGTGTGGCTGGCGCCCATAAGAACCAATCAGGGAAAGGCGAAGCGGTTCGTCAGAACCAATCTCGGCTCTGCAGCATCACCACAACGAGGTCAAGACCGTCAGATGCGGAAACTCCACTAAAGATGCGGAAAAGCACGTGAATTGCTCGCAGAAATCCTGCGACAGACGCCAGTCGCACACATGGTTGCCGAGCTCCGCACAGTAGCCCCCCGCGAGTAGGCGCAGCGAAGCGCACACCTGACATCCAATCGCCACAGCTCGCTACGCTGGCTACCATCATCGCAGACATTCGGGCGCTTGGTGGTGGTGGTGGGGCGAAGAAATCAGAAATCTGGCAAGGTTGTTGCCTAGGCGGAGGAAGGAATGCGCTGAATATTCCCAAATGCCTGAAATGCCAAAAGAACCAGCCTGTTGAATGTGCTCTGAAGCGAAGTAGCCATTCCTGTTTGTGCAAATACCCTAAGTCGATTCCTCTGCCTTCGCCATTGCAGGACGCAACGTGCTCTCCTGGAGGCACGTGCACCTCCGGAGGCAGCAGAGTTCAATCATACAAGAAATCGCTCACCATTTCAGCTCGTCCCTACTAATGGCAGCAATTCAAATTAGCAGCGGCGCTGGCGTTGAGAAAGAAGAGAGAACGACGCCGATATGGGACGGCAACAAGGGCAGCAAACCTGACGAGCCCGAATCCCCCATCAGGGCGTCGGGCCATGATATTGCGGCAGGCTTTATCGCGTCTGGCAAAACAGACGCTGTGACTGCGCATTCCGCTGCTGTCTCCAGCGGATGTGGCGCGGAGGCGGCGGCGACCGCTCCGCCCCGACAACCTGCGCTGTCCGCCCAATCGTTCGCGCCGGTTACCCCAGGCGCAGGCGAAATTTCGACGAAGAGCCGCTCGCGCTTGACTGATAGCGACTGCTCTTCTCGGCCCGCCAATGCGACAAGCACCTTGGCTCCGCGCGAGGCCGACGCGGAAAAAGGTGAAACTTGCGCCAACGCGGAGGCGCTAGCGGAGAGGAGAAAGTCAGCGCTGAGGGCTGCGGAGGGGCGGAGAAGCTCCGGGGACGGCGGGGAGACGGAGGAGCGAATGCGCGCGCAACTGGCGGACGCGCGGAAGATGGTGCGCGCGCTGGTGGGGGAACTGGCGGCGAGAGACGTTGAAGGGGATGATGACGTGGCGTCGGGGGGCGATGACGAGGATGTGGATGATGATGACGAGGATGGGAGAGGCCAAGGGGACGAATTCGATCTGACCAAGGTAGGGTACCATGCTAGACGATGCGTCTCCCATGCGACACTCCCCCTCTCCCTGCCCGTCTTCACCCCCGTTATCTCCCGCGTGCACGCGCCCTCAGCATGCGCCTACTGAAGGTTCTCCCTCCCGCCGCTCATTCATCTTACGCCATTTCCCCGCCCGCACCCACCGACCCCAGGCGCTGCGGCAGGAGCGGCGGGTGGTGCGGCTGAAGCAGCAGCTGGCGCGCGCGCGGGCGGAGCGGGAATCCCTTGAGGCGGAGATGCGCGCGGAAAGGGCGGAATGGCACGCGAAGGAGGCGGAAAGCCGCAGGGGGGAGGCGGAAAGCCGCAGGGGGAAGGCGGGCGCGCGCACCAGCGGTACCGTAATGGATCCCCGGGGTGAAACTAATACTACTGGGGAGGAGGCCGGAGCTAAAAGTGCTGCTGCCGAACCTGCACAGCAGGTTTGCGTCGAGGCCGGAGCTAGAAGCGAGGAGCAGATTACAGCAAGCGAGCAGGCGAGCAGCGGTGACGGCTGCTGCTGCTGTGGGGGGAGTAAGGCGCTAGAGGAGCTACAGGCGCAGGCGATGGTGGCGCAGGGGGAGGTGTTTCTGGTGCAGGCTCAGCTGGAGCGCGCGGAGGCGCAGCTGCTGCGCGTGCAGGAGGAGAGGCGGAAGGAGCGGGAGAGGCATAGGGGTGCTCTGAAGCAGTTCGTGCGATTTGCGATGGAGGATAGGGAGAGGGAGAAGGGGAGAGCTGAGGAGGAGATGGGGAGAGAGAGGAGGGAGATGGAGGGGAGGCGGAGGAAGGAGGTGGGGGGACTGGAGGAGGAGGTGGAGAGGTTGAGGAGAGAAGTGGAGAAGGGAAGGGAGAGGGAGAGAGAGAGGGTGCAGGAGGCGTGGGAGAGAGGGCGGAAGGAGGGGGCAGGTGAGGTGGAGTTTATGAGTAAGGTGATTGGGGAGCGGGAGAGGCGCGTGGGGGAGCTAAGGGCGCGAGTCAGGCAGCTTGAGGAAGAGAAGGGGGAGGTTGAGAGGGAGAGGAGCGAGTGGGACGCGGAGAGGAGGGAGTGGGAGGCAGAGAGGAGGAGGATGGAGGGGGGGGTGAAGAGCGAGCAGGTGAGGAGGAGGGCAGTGGAAGCGGCGTTGAGAAGGGTAGAGCGGGAGGTGGTAGAGCTGAGGAAGGCGAAGGGTGCGGTTGAAGGGGAGAGGAGGGCTGTGGTGAGAGAGGTGCAGAGAGAGGTGGTGAGGGGGAGAGAGAGGGTGGAGGAATTGGGGAGGGAGGTGGAGGGATTGACAGGCGAGGTGGGGGAGTTGAAAGACGATGTGGAGGGGTTGAAAGACGATGCGGAGGGGTTGAAAGACGATGCGGAGGGGTTGAAAGACGGGGACGCACGGCAGGCAACAGGGGCGGCGTGTTTTGAGGAGGCGGACTCTTCTCATAAGGCTGCGTCTGTGTATGTCTGCCGTGTCGCATCGCTGCCGGACGCCATGCCTGCTGCTGCCATCCGCACGGGTGCCGCTGCTGCTGCTGCTGCCGCTGCTCATGCTCGTGGTGGTGGTTCTGCTCGACATGCTTCCACTGCTGCTGCCAGCGCTGCCGCTGCTGCTACTGGTGCAGTGACCAGGCGCAGCAGGCACCAAACAGATTCCACACCCATGTGCGCACACCAGTGCTGCTTGCCTTACGCACGTGCCTGTCACACATCGCGGCACCAGGCGTGTGCTGCTATTCCAGGAGCGGCCAGATCAGGTGTCCCTGTTGAGCCGACTCAAAAGCACCAGGCATGTGCGGCCAGGCCAGGTGCGCCTGCACCAGGTAGCACCTGCCTGTATGGAGGCGAGGCAGGTCATTCCCTGGCCAGCAGCAGCCAAGGGTCGGAGGGAGGAGATGGAGGGGCAGCAGTGGGTTGCTGCTCCTGCTGCCCTGGCGGGGATGGTGCAGCAGTAGCAGGTGAGAGGGCGTTCATCACAAGGGAGGATCTGGGCAGACGCATCAAAAGCAGCAGCATCAGTAACAGCAGCAGCAGCAGCAGCATCGAGAGCAATGGGGTTTTGCCCCGTCTCATCGCCCTGGATGGCAGTGGGCATGGCAGGAACGATGGGAGAGGGGCAGGTGCGTGTGATGCAGAGGGGTGGAGAATGGTATACGGGTACAGAGCACATGAGGGGAAGAAGGCGCAGCATGGGTTGTCTCAAAGGGGAAGCAGGAGTGCAGGAGGAGGCGAGAAGCAGGGGCAGGAGCAGGAGTGGGAGGAGAGCGGGCACGAGTTTATCTCTCTCCTGGACGGACTTCACCTATCGCTTGAAATCTAATCTGAGTCACAACTGACCTTGCTGATCCTCCTATACAGGACCGCTGCTGTGTTGCACTTAAGCACTAACTCCAGTGCATTGTATGCTGTCCTCTCTAGGCTTTATCCTTCAATGCGTGCTATACTTACAACTCTCTGGTGGTTTAATGCATTCCATGCTTGCCGTTTTTGGAATCCTAGTGCTGACCTTACTGCATGATGATCCGTCTGTACAGGACCGATGCTGGGGTGTGTTAAGGGGACTGCAGTGCATTCTATGCTGCCCCCTGTAGGCTTTATCATTGAATGCGTGCTATACCACTTTGTGGTTCAATGCATTCCACACTTGGTGCTTTTGCAATTGGTACAACATACGGTAAGGTGCACTCCACTGGACTCAATAAATACACGTGCTCCCAGACATCAGCTGTGCCTGGCGGGCAGGCGTGCTGCAGCAGACACAGCAATGCTTTGAGTATAATAAGCAGTGTCGGGCAGGCAATGTTCCCGGCAGCACTCGTGTGTCAGTATCGTGCCCACGCGCGAGCATCACAGAAGGTCCATGAGCATGTTGAACAGCATGCGCACCCATGTATCAGCTGGGCCTGGCAGGCAGTAGTGCAAGCAGTCCACCCTCCCATCCTTGAGTATCACATGCCCGTCCGGTCTCAACCCCGTGGCTGTATCCACATCCCAATACACACCTCCATACCGCTCCACCACCCGCCTCGCCAGCTCGTTCTGCCGCCCAAAATCCCCCCAGTGGTACGGCAGCTGGGCGGCGTCTTGTCTGTATCGGAGCGGCTTGGAGTGGCGCTTGCAGTGTGCGTGGCCGGGGGGCGTGTTGCGGTAGATGAGGAGGACGTTGGGGGCGACCGTGCGGATGGCAGAGAGGGTGGCGTAGAGCTCTGATACCAACTGCTCGTCCTCTGTATAGTGGGCCCCGCGATTCAGTACAATCGCAGCAACTCGTTTTTCCGTAGAAGCGCCTTCACCCTCTCCACCATTTCCCCCATCCTGCTCCCCCCCACTGCTGGTCCCGTTCAGCACATGCAGCCACGGAAAGCCAATCAGCTTCGGCCAAGCCAGGGTGAGGTTCGGAGAGGGGTCCAGGGCGTCACTCCTCACGAACGCCACGCTGGCATCCGCGCACGTGTCTTCCACGCACAGCGCGTGGTGCGCGCGTGTCGCTATCTCCCTCCCCCACTGCCTGCAGAACGCAGGCAGGCTGTCTGTAGGAGCGCAGTTGGGCGGCAGGTTTTGTCGTTTCTGGCTGGACGTGCGGTTGAACCCCATGAACAGTGAGTTGCGCAGGGCAGCAAAGAGCATGCCACTGAGCGAGTCGCCCACGATAAGCAGTCGTCGCCCCGCCAGCTTCCTAACCAGCTCCCTGCTATCAAACTCCCGCCATGGCCCACACTTGCTGCTAACGTTCCATCGGTATTTCAGACTCTCCCGCACTCTCCACTGCCCCGGATCCCCATTTCCGGCCGCCTGGGCTTGAGTAATCCTCGTCCCGCTTTTCTCTTCCGCCCGTCGTTCCGAACCTGCTGTGGTTCCGTCCCCTGCTGTTATTCCGCCCGCCACCGCTATGCCGTCCGCCAGAGCGATTCCGTCTGCCTCCTCAAACGCCACCCTACCCCCGCCCTGCGCCACGTGTCCCTCGTCGCACTGGCGCCCGCCGTCCCACTGTGTCGGCAGCGCCCACGGAAGGACACGTGGAGTCGCGTCGTACCGCCAGCGGCCTCTCGTCGTCAGGCAACGGAGCCGCGAGCGGAAGGCTCTAACGGCTTCTCGCTTCAGCAGCGTGGAGCCAAGAATTTCGTTTGGAAAGGTAAACTCTAGACGATCCTGGTCTGGAGCCTGGTTCCGAGTTGACTTTGACTCCAGAGTCGTCACCTTGGCTTGCCGTGCTGCTCCCTGGGATTCTGGGACACCGGCGAATGCGCGACCCCCTGGCTTCTGGTCCTTCGGCGGACCCGGAACCCCTCGGCGGAAGGCGTGATTGGGCGTAATTTCATCCCGACGGGGTCCTTGAATGCCTGGATTTAGCGGATCACGCGCATTGTTTTCAGGACTCCGAGTCGGATGTTGTCGCCGCGACGTTGATTCGCGTGAAGTTTCGAGACCCGTCGCCGCCGGAGATGCCAGTGCGGGGTGCGTGGGAGCGGCAACGACGACTGTTTGCTCTGGTTGGACGAGCGAGAGGAAGTCGAAGCGCGGTGGGATCGCCTGATAGACGGCGATCAGGATAAGTCCAATTGCTGCCGTCAGCAGGAATGTGTGTACTCCAGTGTTGGCGAATTGCCACGCACGAGCGGCGTGAGAGGGCGTAGACGGAACGGAATCGGATTCGATTTTACTGTTGATCTCAGGATCTGAAGCTCCGCACAATCTCTCCTCGTCGTCCGGAATGACAGGCATTTCGATGCCGATGTATGGGAAAAAAACACGAATTCCAGAATATAGTACAAATCGGGTGCTGATTGTAGGTTCAGAGCACATACTTCACACGTCTAAGGCACAACAACAAAGAGACGTCATGGCGTCGGTAACCCACTCTCGAGAGAGCGTGGGGTTGGAATGAATGGATGGAAGGCCAGGAGAGGAGCAGTGATTGCCATCAAAGGAAAGCACTGGCTTTGTTCTGCACTGGTAATGGCGGATCGCTTTGATGGATTGATGTGAATCCTCGAGATCAGCTCATGGTTGACGGACGGCGGCGTGTAATGGCGAATTGAACGGCAGCAAGTTCTGTTCAGGGGATCCAAAGGAACGGATTCCGTCAACTTGCTCGACGCGATGCATCTCTACGGAACCCAGGCGAAGTCAGTTTGTGTCAGAACAGAACGGAGCGTACAGTAATGACGGAAGGCGGGCGAACAGTGGTTACCAGCTCCCGCGCTTTTCCTGATTCGTGTAGAACTGCGAGCGTGTATCGGGTGCTGATCGGTATGGACGCGGTAAGAGTAGACGATCGATCGTCAGTCGAGATCGATGTGCGACTTGGTTACCCTATTTACTACACTATAATCATACTACAGTGAGCGAATGCGACTGATCACTGATCGCTGGAGATCTGTCAATTTTAAAGGGGTGATCGTTACAACGTCGCGGTCGCCACGTTTCGCCAATCGACTTGCTCACTCGATTGTGGGGCTCGATATTTGCAGACAATCCTGCGTTTTGCACTTGTACCGCGTCCCAAAAAACCCTCTCTGCTACTGGTAAGTTTATAACAGAAAACTCCCACTATTATACAGCTCCATACTAAATATCATTCCCATCACTCAAGTGTCCAACGATTATGTTTATCTCCCTACCTTATAGCGGAATAGTGGATGTTATCAGTAGGGCGATTTTCCTTGTCCCGAGGGCTTGCGAGGCGATGCTAACGAACGATATGATATGCCAGAAGCCATTGCAGTTCCAAGACGCGGAGCCTGGACGCATTAGTTAGGTTTATGGATTTCGCCTCTTGAAGTTTCCCTCTACTGCTGTGTCCATAGCCGCTATTTCAGCTCGTCACTCCACCGCATGACCCTTTTTTATCAGAACCACTGAAAACAGAGCAATCATGGCGGCACCAGTGGAGGAGGCCGGCGCTCCGCGCTACATCCTGATTCCGCTGCACGGCACAGGCGAGGCGGTGGCGGTGGACGTGGATCGCCTGCCGTCCGATCACGGCGATCTGGTCGACATTCTCAAGGGCGAGCAGGCGCCGCTCGACTGCTGGCTGCACCTCGCGGTGGGTGCGCAGCGCCGGGTAGAGACAAAAATCTGATTACGCTCAGTACTCACGTGGGTGCACAAAGGTCGGTGCCCTGGGGGTGGGTGCACACAGGGCGAGGCCTTCCCTGATGCATTGCTAACACCTGTTCTGGCATCCTGGGTTCCATAAATTCGGATGTCCTGAGGTGGAATGACGTGGAATAACATGCACTGACACGAACTGAGACGGTCTGACACGTACGGACATGTACTATCACCCAACACCTTTCGTTTGACAGCAACCAGTTCCCCTGGCTGACCCTCTCCCTTGCGTGCTTTCCATCCTGTGTTGTCAAAACGCGCAACCCCATGCTGTTCTTCTCGCAGAGAGCGTACTTCAAGCAAGGCAACACAGCGGCGTTCCTAGACATCCTATCAGAAGGCACCTCGCCAGGTACCACCGCCCTTCCACCACACACGCTCTCACGCTAGGCACACATCATGATTAACGTTTGCCGGAACGAGCGTTATGTTTGTCACCCATGGCCATCATCCCTCGTCCAGTTCGCGCATCCTGTTTGTAGTGTCCTGGGCGCGCAGCGCACTACACAGGCTGACCGTGGAGCCGTGCCTATCACATGCTTCTGCTCCAGCACACCCTCCGCTTCCCCCCCCCCCTTTGCTCCGCTTCCCCTTTCCACCAGACGCGGAGAGAGTATATGAGACGTCTCGCCACGAGCGCATAGCCATGCTGAACGCATTAGGAGCACACTACACGGGGCTGGGGCGCGTGGCACGGCGGCAGAAGCGAGACGAGGTGCTGATCAAGGTGGTGGACTTCTATAACAAGGCTGCTCGTATCAGCAGTGAAGCTGTCGCCACGTGGGTGGGGAAAGGTGGGTGCGTGGGAGCAAGGAGGTGGGGCCAGAGGGACATGCGGGGGCAGAGGGGAAGACGAGGGAAGGGGGAAGGTTGGGGTTAGGTTGGTGGAGGTGGAGGTGCGACGAGGTGCTGATTAAGGTGTGAAGTTTTCCAACAAGGCTGCACGTTTCAGCAGTGAAGCTGACGCCACGTGGGTGGGGAAGGTGAGGGCACGTGGGGGGCTGGATGGGGGCAGAGGGACAGTTGGGGACTGGGAAAGGTGGGAGATGGTGAATGGCGAGGTGCATCAGGCGGAGTAGATGTCCTCCTTTGCCCTCGCTGCCCTTCCTCTCCTCTCCCCGTCTCTGCTCGTTCCCGTTTCCCCGCAACTCTTTCTTCTCTCCCGTTTCCCTTCCCCCTCTCACTCTCCCCCCCCCTTTTCCCCGTGACAGGGCAGCTGCAGCTGGTGAAGGGCGAGGTGCATCAGGCGGAGGAGATGTTCTCCCTCGCCCTCGCTGGCGCGCCTGACTATGTGCCTGCTCTGCTAGGCAAGGTACTGCTTGCTGGGAGAGATACTGCTGGGGAAGGAATTTTGGGGTAGGTACGCGCTGGCGCTGCTGGGGAGGGTGGGTGCTGTTGGGGAAGGTGCCGCTGGGGAAGGTGTCGCTGGGGAAGGTACTGCTGGGGGAAGAGGGGGGCGCTTCTGCAGAAGGTGGAATTGTTGCGGAGAATTCATTGCTGGTCGCTGTGATGCTGTGATTGATGGTGGTACCTTGCTGCCACGTGTCAGTGGCATCTATGTGTGTGTATGCGTTTGTGCATGTGTCACTGTTGTGTGCTGTTCGGTGCTGATGCTCCGGGCACCGCTCGCTCTGCATGTTGCCCTCTGCGTTATGATGAGTGCAGGCGTGTGTGCTCTTCCACAAGGCCAAGTTCCAAGACGCTCTCAACCTCTACAAGGTGGGTGGGCCCCTCACTGCACTGCTCTGCATGCTGCCCTCTCCACCATAATGAGTTCACGCTTGTGTGCTGTGCTCTTTCACAAGGCCAAGTTCCAAGGTGGGTGGGTGGTGCAAGAAAAAATGTTCTTTTTGGGTGCAGTTCTCATCCACTCCGTCCGCTCCTCCGTCGTCAGTACATTCTCCTCCTCCGTCGTCAGTACATTCTCCTCCTCCGTCGTCAGTACATTCTCCTCCTCCGTTGTTAGTACATTCTCCTCCTCCGTCGTCGGTACATTCTCCTCTGTCTCCCTCTCTGCACTTCCACTCTCTGAGGCAGAAATCTCTCGAAGCATCCTCCTAAGCTTCGTCACTACTTCAACCGACTTGCAGCAACACCCTTGCATGCAGCACCCTTGCATGCAACACCCTTGCATGCAACACCCTTGCATGCAACACCCTTGCATGCAACCCCCTTGCGTGCGACCCCCTTAATGTAACAGCGTAACAGTGTAATAGCCTAACAGCATAACATCGTAACAGCCTAACAGCCTAACAGGCTAACAGGCTAACAACCTAGCAGCCTATCAGCCAAACAGCCAAACAGCGTAACAGCGTAACAACTTAAGAGCATAACAGCTAACAGCCTAACAGCGTAACAAAGTAACATCGTGACAGCGTAACAGCCTAACAGCCTAATAGCGTAACAACGTAATAGCCTAATGGCCTAACAACGTAACAGCCTAACAGCCTAACAACGTAGCAGCGTAACATCGTAACAGCGTGACAACGTGATAGCGTAACAGCGTAACAGCGTAACAACGTAACATCCTAACAACGTGATAGCGTAGCAGCGTAACAGCGTAACAGCATAACAGCGTAACAACCTAACAGCCTAACGGTGTAACAGCCTAACATCCTAACAGCCTAACAGCGTAACAGTGTAACAGCGTGACAGCGAAACAGCCTAACAGCCTAACAGCCTAACAGCGTAACCGCCTAACAGCCCAACAGCCTAACATCGTAACAGCGTAACAGCCTAACAGCCTAACAGCCAAACATCGTAACAACCTAACAGCCTAACAGCGTAACAGCATAACAGCGTGAAAGCCTAACAACCTAACAGCCTAACAGCGTAACAGCGTAACAACGTAACAGCTTAATAGCCTTACAGCCTAACAGCCTTGCAGCCTAACAATGTAACAACCTAACAGCGTAGCAGCGTAACAACGTAAAAGCGTAACAGCCTAACAGCCTAACAGCCTAACAGCGTAACAGCATATCAGCCTAACAGCCTAACATCGTAACAACGCAACAGCGTAAGAGCGTAACAACGTAACAACGTAACATTGTAACAGCGTAACATTGTAACAACGTTACAGCCTAACAGCCTAACAACCTAACAGCCTAACACCCTAACAGCCTAACAGCGTAACAGCCTAACTGCCTAACAGCATAACAAAGTAATAGCGTAACAGGCTAACAGCCTAACAGCGTAACAGCTTAATAGCCTAACAGCCTAAGGGCGCGTAACTTTTTCTGTTTTAGTCAAATGTCCGGACGGAGCCCCCAAAACGTCCGAAAGGAACTCCGTCCGGACGGATGGGGTTGTGGTTCGGACGACGAAGCGTCCGTACCACAATTGTGACACTTTTTTGCAGTTTCAAGATTTGAAATTCGTGCAAAACAGTAGCGCGCATAACCTACCTCGCCAGCACATCGCCCAATTCGCAAGCATGCATTTGCGGCTCGGTAATGTTTGAGCTTTCCAACCACTTTGTCCTCTTGCTCGCGCTATTGTGAGTACAACACAAACAGACTGAAAGTTGGAGTGGGAAATTCGATTCTGAAAAATGTGCCTCACGCACCAAAGACGTTGAAGGAGTTCCGGACGGTCCGAAATGCTGTCCGGACGATGTCAGCAGTGTAGAACGGACGATAAATTGACAGAAAAGTGTCAGACTTGGTACGGACGATCGCGACGTCGCGAGGGGTCTTGCGAACTTGTTGACGAACTCCAACGACTCGCGTAACCCTACAAAAGTCCGGACGGGGCCTCGTCCGAACGATGAAAAGTGAAAAAGTTACGCGCCCTAACAACCTAACAGCCTAGCAGCCTATCAGCCAAACAACCAAACAGCGTAACAACGTAACAACGTAACAGCGTAACAGCTTAACAGCGTAACAGCGTGACAGCATGACAGCGTAACAGCCTAACAGCGTGACAGCCTAACAGAGTAACAGCGTAATAGCCTAACAGCCTAACAGCGTAACAGCCAAACAGCCTAACAGCCTAACAGCGTAGGAGTGTAACAGTGTAATAGGGTAACAGCGTGACAGCGTAACAGCGTGACAGCGTAATAGCCTTACAGTGTAACAGCATAACAACGTAACATCCTAACAGTGTGATAGCGTAGCAGCCTAACACCGTAACAGTGTAACAGCGTAACAGCATAACAGCATAACAGCCTAAAAGTGTAGGAGCCTAACAACCTAACATCCTAACAGCCTGACAGCCTAACAGCCTAACAGCCTAACAGCCTAACAGCCTAACAGCGTAACAGCATAACAGCATAACAGCCTGACAGCCTAACAACCTATCAGCCTAATAGCCTAACAGCGTAACCGCCTAACAGCCTAAAAGCGTAATAGCCTAATAGCCTAACAGCCTAACAGCCTAACAGCCTAACGGCGTAACAGCATAACATCGTAAAAGCCTAACAACCTAACAGCCTTACAGCGTAACAGCGTAACAATGTAACAGCCTAACAGCCTTACAGCCTAACAGCCTTACAGCCTAACAGCCTTACAGCCTAGCAGCCTTACAGCCTAACAACGTAACAACCTAACAGCGTAGCAGCGTAACAACATAACAGCGTAACATCTTAACAGCCTACCAGCGTAACAGCTTAACAGCCTAACAGCATAACAGCGTAATAGCGTAGGAGTGTAACATCGTAACAGCGTAACAACGTTACAGCCTAACAGCTTAACAGCATAGCAGCCTAATAGCGTAACAGCATAATAGCCTAACAGCCTAACAACCTAATAGCCTAACAGCCTAACAACCTAATAGAGTAATAGCGTAACAGCCTAACAGCGTAACAGCCTAACTGTTGTAAATGCATATTATATACAACATACATAGGCTAGAATAGGTGCAGTCCTTTATGTTCTTTGGGTTTGGGTGTACACTCCAACCACACTTTCTGCTGGTTCAAGATTGGATTTGGTCATGGTCCTTGGTTGACACTTGCCAACTTTTGGTCCTTAGGCCAACCAATCGCAACCTACCTACATTGTGAGGTTTCTACTCCACAAGGCACCTCACCCATTAGCCAACTTAGTGGCCAATAGGGTTAGCTCCTCCTCTCTTCTCTTTCTTGCATGCTTGTATTATAGAGCCTTGTTGGCTCATTACTCAACACATTCTTGAATCCTAACACTAACAGCCTAACAGCCTAACAGCCTAGCAGCCTATCAGCCAAACATTCGAACAGCCAAACAGCATAACAGCGTAACAACGTAATAGCATAACAGCTTAGCAGCCTAACAGCCTAACTGCGTAACAGCCTAACTGCGTAACAGCCTAACAGCGTGATAGCGTAACACCCTAACAGCGTAACAGCCTAATAGTGTAACAGCCTAACAGCGTAACAGCGTAATAGCCTAACAGCCTAACAGTCTAATAGCGTAGCAGCGTAACAGCGTGACAGCGTAATAGCCTTACAGCGTAACTACGCGTAACAGCGTAACAGTGCAACAGCCTAACATCCTAACAACCTAACAGCCTAACAGCGTAACAGCGTAACAGCCTAACAGCGTAACATCGTAACAGCCTAACAGCCTAACTGCCTAACTGCCTAACCGCCTAACAGCCTAACAGCCTAACAGCGTAACTGCCGAACCGCCTAACAGCCTAACAGCCTAACAGCGTAACAGCCTAACAGCCTAATAGCGTAACATCATAACAGCATAAAAGCCTAATAACCTAACAGCCTAATAGCGTAACAACGTAATAGCGGCGTAACAGCGTAACAACGTAACAGCCTAACAGCCTTACAGCCTAACAGCCTTACAGCCTAACAACGTAACAGCCTAACATCTTAGTATCGTAACAACGTAACAGCGTAACGGCTTAACAGCCTAACAGCGTAACAGCGTAACTGCCTAACAGCCTAACAACGTAACAGTCAACAGCGTAACAGCCTAACAGCCTAACAGCCTAACAACCTAACAGAGTAATAGCGTAACAGCCTAACATCCTAACAGCGTAACAGCGTAAAAGCCTAACAACCTAATAGCCTAACAGCCTAACAGTGTAACAGGGTAACATCATAACAGGGTAACAGCGTAGTAGTGTAACAGCGTAACAGAACAGCCTAACAACCTAACAGCCTAACAGCGTAACAGCCTAACAACCTAACAATCTAATACAGCGTATTAGCGTAACAGACAGCGTAACAGCGTAACAGCCTAACAGCCTAACAGCGTAACAGCCTTACAGCCTAACAGCCTAACAGTCTATCAGCCTAACAGCCTAACTGTGTAACAGCGTAACACCCTAACATCCTAACAGCGTAGCAGCGTAACAGCGCAACAGCGTAACAGTCTAACATCCCAACAGCCTAACAGCCTAACAGCGCAACAGCGCAACAGCCCAACAGTGTAACAGTGTAACAGCGTAATAGCGCAACAGCCCAACAGCCCAACAGCCTTACAGCTTAACAGTGTTTGCGACCCTCTTCCGTGCAACCCGCTTGCATGCAACGCCACCCCCTTGCATGCAACCCCCTTGCATGCAACCCCCTTGCATGCAACCCCCTTGCATGCAACCCCCTTGCATGCAACCCACTTGCATGCAACCCCCTTGCATGCAACCCCCTTGCATGCAATCCCTTGCATGCAACCCCCTTGCATGGAACCCCCTTGCATGCAACCCCCTTGCATGCAACCCACTTGCATGCAGATCTCTGAGATGCCTTTCTCTCAGCACACCCGCTTCCCCCCTTCTCACCTACTCTTCCCTCTTTCTCCCCTTTTCCCCGCAAGCAGAAGGTACTGCAGCTGCACCCTAGCTGCCCGCCATCAGTGCGGCTGGGCATCGGCCTGTGCCACCTGCGTCTCTTCGCCTCCTCAGCAGCGCGCCAGCCAGCAGCAGCACGCAGGGAGTTCCACGCGGGCAAGGCCAGGCAGGCGCTGGAGCGGGTGCTGCAGCTGGAGCCAGGGAACGCAGACGCGCTGGTGGCTCTTGGGCTGTTGGATGTGAACTCCGACGATGGTACGGGGCATTGCCTATGCTGCATGACGCGCGCGTGGCACTGGGGCTGCTGGATGTCATTTTAAATTATGGTACGAGGCTTGGAGCATGGGGCACGGTGAATGGTGCGTGCTACGATGCATGGGTGTCTGATATGAGCACGGTTGGGCTACCAACACCACGGGCCCCGCTCTCCATGTCTGACCTTTCCTGTGGCCACCCATCATGACCTTTCCTGTGGCCACCCATCATGACCTTTCCTGTGGCCACCCATCATGACCTTTCCTGTGGCCACCCATCATGACCTTTCCTGTGTCCACCCATCATGACCTTTCCTGTGGCCACCCATCATGACCTTTCCTGTGGCCACCCATCATGACCTTTCCTGTGTCCACCCATCATGACCTTTCCTGTGGCCACCCATCATGACCTTTCTTGTGGCCACTCATCATGACCTTTCCTGTGGCCACCCATCATGACCTTTCCTGTGTCCACCCATCATGACCTTTCCTGTGGCCACCCATCATGACCTGCCCCCCCCCCCCGGTCACCACTCCGCCTATGTTCTGTTGGAGTGACTTTTGAGAATTCTCAAAAGTCACTCCTATAACCACCCATCCTGCACCGCACCTCCATCGCCCCTCGTTCCCTTCACCTGCCCCACCTCTCTGTCCTCCCCTCTGCCCCCTCGCCTACCGCAGTCACAGCAGTGCAGCGGGGCCAGCAGCGCATGCTAGCAGCGTTCCACGCCTTCCCGTTCCACCCCATGGCCCTCAACCATCTCGCCAACCACGCCTTCCTCGCCGGCCCTTCTCTGCACGGCCTGGTCGACCCCCTGGCTGCGCTCGCCCTCGCCAGCACAGAAGCTTCTCTGCCGCGCGCTGAAGCATACTACTGCCTCGCGCGCACCTACCACGCTCAGGTGAGAAATAAATTGCGCAGGTGGCATGGCTGCCACTCCTCCCTGGTAGAATCCCTCCCCTGCTGGGCCCTCCCTGCACAGCTGCTGGGCCCTCCCTGCACGGCCTGCTGGGCCCTCCCTGCACGGCCTGCTGGGCCCTCCCTGCACGGCCTGGTGGACCGTCTGGCTTCACTTGCACTCGCCAGCACCGAGGCTGCCCTGCCACGTGCTGATGTCTACTACTGCCTTGCGCATACCTACCACACTCAGGTGGGTTGTTCTTCCCCGCTAAGTGGCGAAATACGCGTATAGCGTATATACGCGTGTCGTATATACGCATGCGTTTATACGCTATACGCTAAGGTCCCGAATCCAGGAATACGCTTTTTCGGGCAGGGTAAAAAAAAACCCGGGCAGGGTGAAAAAAACACCCTAGGTATAGTTCACAGGGGCGATTCACGGAGGTTGTGTCTCAGGTTCATTTTTTCCCCTATGACGCGAAATGCTTAAAGACTTCGTGCTCAACATCGGGAAGTTACTTCCCCAGTCTCACAAAGAGGACGTGCCCTATCGTTATCTTGCGTGGGATCGGGTGGCGGGTTGGGAACAGTAGACATTGATTGCGTTTTGGACTAGGAGTGAGTGACTAGGTGAGTACGACGAAGTAGATCTGACGAGAAACGATGTGTTGGAGGGGACGTAGTGGAAAGGTTGGAGTTCGTAGATTGGGTTCGGTTCCAAGAGGTGGAACCCTGAAATTCGAAATTGCAACTCCAACCTGAATCCAAACATTGAAGTGACATTCCCAATTATATACACACAGGTGACGTCATCACATGCCGCCCCGCCCGCCCTAGCACAAAGGGAATTGAGGCAAAACGAAAAACCCGCGGAATCCGTCCGGGCCCCCAGAAATTCCCGGCTGACCAGGCCAAAAGACCCTCCGAAACCCGCGGGTTCAATGTCGTATTCTTATGACAATAAATATGTCAGCCGTAACAGTAGAAATTGAAGGAACTCAACGGGAGACAACTCAATATACCATCGTAGGATAAAAAAGAAAGTGTTTCGTAACTCAAAATATCAGCCAAGTTAAGGCCCTAAAAATAATATGCGATTCTCGACGGAAGGGGTATTTCCGTCGAGAATGTGCAGACATTTTGTTCTCGACGGAAGGGGTATTTCCGTTGAAAATGTGTTAATTCTCGAAGGAAGGGCGTTAATACTTCAGTTCTGCAATTTTCTGTCTTCGACAGAGCCCTAGTTGGCATTAAAAGGGTGTATCGCCTTTGACAACATTTCAAATTCGCGGCACATATTTTTTCTTCGACGAAAACTCAAATGTGATGTTCGACAAGAGGTGCTCCCGGGATGTTCGACAGTACTTAGGGATTCCGCTAAACGTCTCGACAAAGCACATTGAAAAACTTTGCTCCTACACTTTCACATTTTTGTTGAGACTATACTGCAATACTTTCTGTCGAACAGGGAAACTCATTCGATAAGGTTCCGATTTCACAGTCGGGAAAACAAAATTTCCGAGACGTTGTTCGATGAAATTGATTATCGACAGCAGAAGCCGTTTCTGGATTTTGGCAAGTCAGCATCTGCGTTCGACGCGGAAATTGTCGCGCTGCGCATTATCCCCATTTGTCAAAACGAAAGATTTCGACAGACAGAGCAAAGCGGTCGAGAATTTTATTTCAATCGACCAAGCATATCTATCGCCGCCAGCACCCTGTTTCACTTCTCTTTGTAGCATCGAGACTCACAATCACATAACTAATCAACAATGCTCGAGTTTTACTATACGTTAATACATATCGTGAACGTGGACAATCGACACAAGCAATGTTATTGTTGCAGTAGAGTTTGGCAGCTGCATTTTATTACCCCGTCGAACAGACCATATTTGTCTATGTAATAAATACAGAAAAAAGCATCATATTTAACAAACTATAGCTTTCCAAATTTTATGATTTTTACACTACCTGAAAATGTTGGTAATTCACCTATGGCAATGATTCGTTTTCAAACTCTCTTCGACAACACTTCGTTTTATGTCGACGACGGGACGGTTGACGACAAAAATGCTATCGCAGGCTCTGCTCGACGGGATCCAGTCGACGACGCCGACGTGCATTGCTAATGCACATTAGTGGTCGATGAAACCCTTCGATAGGCACTGCTCGGCGTGCTGTGCTCGATGAGCTGGTCTTGGCGAATGCTGTTCGACCAAGCAGCGTCGAGCTGGTCGGTGAAAGTAACGCCTGACCCCTCGTCTTCGTACTCGGTTGAGTCTGTCCCTGCAGCGTGCTAGAAAGGTTGGCCCCGGTGGTACAAGAATGATTTCTCATTAAGTTCATATTTACTTGCTCTACGGCGCACGGGTAGCGAAACCGTCGACAGATGTTCTACCTGGCACCTGCACATGAATAAGAGTAAGATTGATGATATACGTATTAATGATAATTGTAGGGAATGCCCCCTTTTTTTGTGCCTCCTATTCCTTATCAAGTTTGCCCATTGCAGTTTATGTATTTATTTGTTTAGGTATACGCTTTTATTTCAGTGTCAGCTGTTCTGTGGCGCGTTCTGCCACGCTTTTCTCTGCACCACTTTCCGTCGGGTCGAGACGGAATCCGTCGACGGAGGCGGATTTACTCGACGAACAGGGGGGTTGGTGCAGGCGGGGTTGGTGCAGACCGGGGGGAGCATGTGGGGTCAACGCCAGCTCGAGCGAGGACCACCTCGCGTGGCGTGGGTCGTTTCGGGCGGGCGGGGAGGCTGGCTCCCGCCCCTCGCGTGCCCCTCCACGCGACAGAGGGAAAACGAAAATCCCTCCGAGGAAAACCCGCAGGGGCGAAAGGGGGTCCTCGGAGGGATTCGGGCGACGTCTTCCCGCTACCATAGATCTCCGATGCGCATTTCGACCACTGCGAAATGATCGCCGTGAAAAACGGCAGATTTCTTTATATTCCTGAATTTTTTCACCTTGGGCTGCCCAGAAAAAAACTCCCGAGCGTATTGCGTATTTGCTAGCGTATTGCGTTTTGCGTGTATACGCAAGCGGATAAACGCTATACGCTTAAAGGCAAAAGCGTATTTCGCCACTTAGCTTCCCCGTGCCATCACCACGCCCAGATGTGCATCACGGCATGCGCATGCCGTGTCCACGTACACCCAGCGCCAGTCACTCGATCCTTCCCTTCCCGACTCATTCCGTCCCTCTCCGTTCCCTTCCCTTTGCTTTGAGTGTCACGGCACAGGGTGACAGGAAGAAGGCGTTTGCGTATTACAAGGCGGCCACGGAGACGGTGCAGCCGGGGGAGTTCGCGCTGCCCTACTACGGTAAGCTGTCTCCCACCCACTCTCCCGTTGCTCTCTGTCGCTGTCACCTGCTGCCTTGAGTCATACGGTTGCTCCGCGCCGCAAAGCATGATACCTCTCACTCTCTCTGGTTGTCGTGACACATTCTTAGACTCAAAGGCAAGGGAAGGCATTCTGGTAAGCATGTGCGTGACTGACTAATGGGTGTACGCTTCCCCTCCCCCCCCTTTCTCCCCTGCGGGCAGGGCTGGGGCAAATTCAGCTGAGTCTGGGCGACGCCAAGGCGGCAGTGGGCACGCTGGAGAAGGTGCTGGCTGTGCACCCCACCAACAGTGACGCGCTCAAGGTGAGACAAGGGAGGGAAGTGGGCGACAGCGAGTTGGGGTGCATGGGTAGCAGCACCACAGGGAGCATGTTGAGCAGGTTGGGCAAGGCATGGATGCTGGTAACCCGCAGAAGGTGCTGGCCGTGCACCCCACCAATAGACCTACCTACCAACGCCCAAGCCCAACGCCCAAGCCCAACGCCCAAGCCCAACAGTTAGTGTTAGCCATAAATCTCACACTTTGTATTCTCTACCTTCAATATCCTAGCGTAGTGCGCGCCTGGTCCAAGTGCGCGCCTGGTCCAAGTGCGCGCCCACGTTGAGGTGAGAGAAGGGAGGGAAGGGGGGAACAGTGAGTTGGGGTGGTGGTAACCTGCAGAAGGTGCTGGCCGTGCACCCCATCAACAGCCATGCTTTCAAGGTGAGAGGGAGACGGATAGACAGTGGGAGGCCGAAACAGCTCAGAACCATATCCCTCTCAAGGTGCAAGGCTTGCCAGAGGCTTAGGGAAGGGCAGGGGTAGCAGCAGCACAGAACGCACTATGAGCAGTTTGGATAGACCTCTAGAGGCGCTGGGCTGGGCTCACTGGAGACTGTGCTTCTTGTAAGGTGTTGTACACCCCACCGAATGCTTTTCTCCCGTTCATCCCCTCCTCCCTCCGTGCCTTTCTGTTTGTGGGGCCGGCAAAACTAAGCCTTGGCGTGGCCTTGCTTCTCGTCCAGCCATGTCCGCTTTCGCTCCTCCTCTGTACATCCTCTCTTTCCCCCCCCCCTCCCCCATTAGCTGGTGGGCGCCATTCACCTGCAGCAGGGCCGGCAGGACCAAGCCCTGGCGTGCTTCCGCAAGATCACTCAACACTGCCCCTCTGACATGGATGTGAGTGAAGGCGACCAAGTGTGACCATGTGTGACCATGTGTGACCATGTGTGACCATGTGTGACCATGTGTGACCACGTGCGACCACGTGCGACCACGTGCGACCATGTGTGACCACGTGTTGACCATGCATGACCATGCGTGACCATGCGTGACCATGCGTGACCATGCGTGACCAAGCGTGACCATGTGACCATGCGTGACCATGCGTGACCATGTGTGACCATGCGTGACCATGCGTGACCATGCGTGACCATGCGTGACCAAGCGTGACCATGCGTGACCATGCGTGACCATGCGTGACCATGCGTGACCATGTGACCATGCGTGACCATGCGTGACCGTGGGTTACCAAGCGTGACCATGCGTGACCATGTGACCATGCGTGACCATGCATGACCATGCGTGACCATGCGTGACCAAGCGTGACCATGCGTGACCATGCGTGACCATGCGTGACCATGCGTGACCATGCGTGACCATGCGTGACCATGCGTGACCAAGCGTGACCATGTGACCATGCGTGACCATGCGTGACCATGTGACCAAGCGTGACCAAGCGTGACCATGCGTGACCATGCGTGACCATGCGTGACCATGCGTGACCATGCGTGACCAAGCGTGACCCCCATGCGTGACCATGCGTGACCATGCGTGACCATGCATGACATGCGTGACCATGCATGACATGCGTGACCATGCGTGACCATGCGTGACCATGCGTGACCATGCGTGACCATGCGTGACCATGCGTGACCATGCATGACCATGCGTGACCAAGCGTGACCATGCGTGACCATGCGACCATGCGTGACCATGCGTGACCATGCGTGACCATGCGTGACCATGCGTGGCCATGCGTGACCATGCGTGGCCATGCGTGACCATGCGTGACCATGCGTGAGCATGCGTGAGCATGCGTGAGCATGCGTGAGCATGCCTGAGCATGCGTGAGCATGCATGACCATGCGTAACCATGCGTGACCATGCGTGATCATGCGTGACCATGTGTGACCATGTGACCATGGGGCAGCATGTGGGCATGTGACATGGGTGTTGTGGTGGAGGGCATGCATGAGGATCAAGATCACCCAGCACTGTCCTTCTGACATGGACGTGAGTGGATGTGACCGTGTGACCATAGGTGCAACAGCATGTTGGGATATGTGTGGCGGAGTGTACACATGGCATGGTGTGCGTATGTGGGAGTGAGGTGAATGCTGGTTCCAATTGCAGAGGCATCACTCCCCTGCTGCATCCTCTGCGTGGCTCACGTGTCTCTTCCTTCCTTCTTCTCCATGGTTCCTACTTCCTGCTTCCCCATGCATCTGTGCGACACCAGGCATGGTTGGAGGTGGGAGAGCTTCTCGTCTCCTCCGACCTTCCTGCTGCGCTCGAGTCTCTCAAGAAGGTGCGCTCACACCCCAGGTTCACGGTGCACTGCAGTGCTTGGCTGCGCTGCAAGGGTTGCTGTGAAGGGCCCACATACTCGCGCTGATACACGCTCTTCTGCCCCACTCGCCCCCATGTCACTGCCATCGCCCCGCCTTGACTCACGTGTTGCTGTGTGTCCCTCGAATTCGTCCTCCTTTTGCGAGCTCTACTGGAGTGCATGCATATGAGCGCATGTGCGAGGTGTTGGCCAAAGTGGGTGCGCGTGGCTGTTGCATCCGCTCTCCATCCCCATGCCACCTGTAATGCCCTACCGCACCTCACTATTCTCCTCTCCTCCCCCCACCCCTCCTCTCTTCCCCTGGAGTGCAGGCATACGAGCGGATGGTGAAGGTGGTGGGCAAGGAGGGCGTGTCAGTCCCATCGGACTCGCCTCACTTATTCTCCTCTCCCTCACTTATTCTGCCTCCTCCACCCCCCTGTCTTCCCCTGGAGTGCAGGCATATGAGCGCATGGTGAAGGTGGTGGGCAAGGAGGGCGTGTCAGTCCCATCGGACTCGCCTCACTTATTCTCCTCTCCCTCACTTATTCTGCCTCCTCCACCCCCCTCTCTTCCCCTGGAGTGCAGGCATATGAGCGCATGGTGAAGGCGGTGGGCAAGGAGGGCGTGCCGTGGCAGCTGGTGAACAACATTGCCGCGCTGCAGCATGAGAGGGGCGCGTATGAGGTGAGAGCAGCATGAGAGGGGCGCGTACGAGGTGAGATGCGTGACTATGTTGGAAAAGTCGCGCCCAGCGTATTATACGCCAGCGTATATACGCTGGCGTATAGTACGGGATGCGCTACAAGAGTGATTTTGTTATACGCTGAAAATACGCTGCCCGGGCAGGTAAAACTTTTTCCCGGGCAGTGCTATCCAGAAGATTCGCATCCGCGATTGTCGCGTCACAGGAGGAGGCACTAGGAACCTCACTTGTCGCACTCGCGGGAGTGCCATTAGGGGTCGACATCATAAGGTTGTCGAGGGAACTGGAGAGAGAATGAACGAGCGGAGGAACTCACCTAGGTGAGAGAGTTGCGTGGTTGGCTGGTTGATGACATTTGTGAAGATGAGTTGGAGTCTGGGGGTAACAGAAGGTGCAATGCAGTTGAAATGTCCCCCACGTCTCGAATTTTATGTGTTAGGGTTGACGAGATTGTTTGGGACGTGCGCACAATGTGAGTCTCGTTGCAAACTCAAATTTCGTGCGCGATTTTTTTTTTTTTTTTTGCCGGGCAGCCCAGACATTTTCGAGCGAATATACGTGCGTATTGCGTACTCCGTATATACGTCCACGCATATACGCTGTACGTTGTCCCTGGCTGGTGACTTTTCCAACATAGATGCGTGATAGTGCAAGTACCATAGTCACCAGCGTTTGCTTTCAAACCATTGGTGCTGTACTTGCTTTTGTACAGGCCCCTCCGTTCCAACACCGCTGGTCACCTTCCCCTGCCCCTCTGCTGCTCTCCCCCTGTCCGTTTGTCCCTCTGTCGTTCTCTCATTTTTCCCCGGCTCACCACTGCTGCGCCCCCATCGCTACAGGAAGCAGTGGCAGCATACAAAGAGGCATTGGGGCCACATGGGCCGTGGGCGCCCATCCTGCACCCTGAGGGGGCTGCACATGCAGCGGGTGGTGGGGATGCAGGGAGGGAGGCACTGCCAGTGGAGAAGGTGACAGTGGTGTTCAACCTCGCTCTCTCCCTCTCCCCCTCTGCACCCCGTTCTACCCCCCCCACCCCACCCACAGGAGGCAGTGCAGGCGTACAAAGAGGCTCTGGGCCCACACGGGCCGTGGGCGCCCATCCTGCACCTTGAGGGGCTTGCAGACGAGGACGAGAGGAAAGGCGCAGAGACAGCACTGCCAGTGGAGAAGGTGACAGTGGTGTTCAACCTCGCTCTCTCCCTCGAGCGCACCTGCTGCCTCACCCAGGCCGCTGCCCTCCACCGCCTCATCCTCTCTCAGGTGTGCCCTCCACCGCCTCACCCTCTCTCAGGTGTGCCCTCCACCGCCTCATCCTCTCTCAGGTGTGCCCCATTATCGGTTTGTGTTCAACTTAGATGTACCTTCGTACTCGCAGCTGCCCCTCCTTTGTTTCGGCCTGGGTGCTTCTCCTGTCGTATCACCAGCTGCCCGTTGCGTTTTATCACCCCACCCACCCCCACCCCAACCCCCCCTTACCCACTCCTCAGTACCCATCCTACCTGGATTGCCACCTGCGCCTGACAGTCATGGCACTGGACCGTTGAGGCAACCTGCCCCGTCCCTCCGTGCCCTGCACTCTCCCAACCCCCCCTTCACCCTCCCCTCTCCCCCAGTACCCATCCTACCTGGACTGCCATCTACGCCTGGCAGTGATGGCACTGGACCGCCGAGACAACGCCACTGCCATGACGCATGTGAGCGGGGAGGGGGAGAGGGGGTGGGGGGTGATTGGCAGATGGGAAACAACTGGAAAGCGTCAGTGGGAGAGGGGGGAAATTGATTGGCAGGTAAGGAGCGGGCGGGAGTTGATGGGTCGAGGCCCTTGTAATTGCAGGTGAAAGCTGTGGTATCGTATCACACAATGCTACCACCATTGGATGCTCTCTTGCTGCATCGAGACATGAACTCAACCCATTCCCCTCTTCCCGCACTTGTTTCCTGCTTGCTCCACTCCTGGTGCACATATCAATAGCACTGCAGAAAGCAGTGTGGGTGTGCTGCTGCTCATCTTGACATACCTCAGCCCATCTCCCCCCCCCTCCTCCTTCCCCATGTATACTTGTGCCTCTTCTGCTGCAGATATCAGCCGTGCTACAGCGTGCGCCTGACAGTGTGGACGCGTTGCTGCTGCGCAGCCGGGCAGAGGCGGAGAGGGACGACCATGCGGCAGCCAAGGACACGCTCAAGCGCATCGTGGACCTCTCGCCTGAGAAATGCACTGCTGCCCTTGTTGCCCTGGTGAGTAGCATCTCTTGTCTCATTGCCTGGCGCACTCAAGGACACGCTGCAGAGCACGTGCATGGAGAGGAGAGAGATGGCCGTGCAGAGCACGTGCATGGAGAGGAGAGAGACGGCCGTGCAGCGGCCAAGGACACACTCAAGGGCATTGTGGACCTCTCCCCTGAGAAATGCACCACCACGCTCGTTGCTCTGGTGCGTGCCATGCTCTCGTCTTGTTGCTCTGGTGGGGTTTCTGAGTCGAATGCAGTGCAGAGTGCTCATTCCTTGGTCCACGCAAGGGCACGCTCAAGCGCATCGTGGACCTCTCCCCTGAGAAATGCACGGCTGCGCTGGTTGCTCTGGTAGGCATCCTAAGTTGAGATGTCTTGGCTGTGCTCGTTGAATGAAACCCATGAATGAATGCACTAACCTCTAAGGCTATACCTCCTCCAAAACTCCCCGTTGTGTCCATGAATGATGGTATGGCAGGGCAACTGGAACTTGAACATGAGTGCTCGCCCCACGCGCGACACCAAAGCAGAGGCATCCTTCCTTGAGAAGGCCCGGGAGATGTTTCACAAGGTGCGTGGGGGGGTGGGTTGGTGGGAAGATGAGATGCTTTCGCACGGTTTAAGTCAACTCAAATCTCGAACCACTCGGGAGATGTGCACCAAGGCAGAGGCATCATTTCTTGAGAAGGCGTGCGTGGGGGGATAAATTGGTGAGAAGATGAGATGCTTTCTCAAGTTGGGGAAGAGATGCTTTCATGCTGTCCTTCATGGGTTCTTTTTTTTCGAATCGACGCTGTGATATCAACGCTGTTTCAACACGCAGCAGCAGTTCCTCCTGCGCTTGCTCTCTGCTCACTCTTTTGCCAACCCACTCTCTTGGAGGCGCCTCTCCTCTAAGCGGCGCCTCTCCTCAACCACAACCCCATACAACCCCCACTTCCCCCACCTCCCAGGCATTGACGGGCAGCAGCAACAACATGTATGCAGCGAACGGGGTGGGGAGTGTGGTGGCGGAGAGGGGCCTGTTCGACGTGGCAAAGGACATCTTCACCTCCGTGCAGGAGGCCTCCTCTGCCCCCGGCACCACCGACCTGCCAGACGTCTGGATGAATCTCGCTAACGTGCATTTGGCCAAGGGGGATTACGCTCTTGCTGTCAAGCTGGTGAGCGAACTGTGCTTTATTGCAACTGATGCTTGCAGTGAGCTGATGCTTGCAGTGGAGCATTCTTTGCTCGTGTCCTTTCCACCATCACAATGAAACCCAGTCTTCCTCTCTTCCCCTCTTCCTCCTCCTCCCCCTTCCCCTCTCCCTCCTCCTCCCCTCTCCAACAGTACGAGAAGACTTTGAAACGCTTCTTTGCAAGCGGGGCAGTGGGGGCGAGCGGGGCCGAGGGCTTCCACTTGCGCACTTTGTCCTATATGGCGCGCGCGCAGTACGACGCCGACCAGCTGGCGCAGTGCCGCCGCTCGCTGCTGCTAGCGGTGCATGTAGCGCCGAACAACGCCGCCCTGCGGTTCAACGTGGCGGTGGCGCTGCAGAAAATGGCCGTGACTGTGCTGAAGCAGGAGAAACGGACGGCAGAGCAGGTATGGATGAGAGGGAGGAGGCGTGGGAAGGATTGGGGAAAGAGGGGTGAGATGGAGCATAACAGCGGTGGTGCAGCAGAAGATGGCAGTGACTTTTCTCAAGCAGGTGAAGCGGACGGCTGAGCAGGTATGGCTGAGAGGGAGGGGACGTGGGTGGGAAGGATTGGGAAGGGTAGGGGAGGGAAGGGCGAGGAGGGAGCACGACAGCGATGGCACTGCATAAAATCGAAGTTACTGTGCTGAAGCAGGAGAAACGGACGGCTGAGCAGGTATGGTGGAGAAGGAGGGGTGAGGAGTGAGCCAGGCAGGTGGAGGGGGAGGGGGCATGCGTGCAGAAGGAGCAGAATGACTGTGGTTCTGGACAGAGTTGGCTGTTGATATGGTGGCACAGGAGATGAGCAGTGCAGGAAAGTGAGTGCTTGCTGCCACGGCCCAGTCCATATCTCCTCGCATGCCTTCCAACGCCCACCCTCTCCCAACGCTTACTCCCGTCAACGCCCACTCACTTCAACTCACTCCAATGATTGCCTCGTTGCTCGTGTGCATCAGGTGCGCAAGGTGGTGTCCGACTTGAAGACCGCCCTCCGGCTCTTCTCCCAGGTGTGCCAGCACATCCCGTCCCACCCAGCACATGTCCCACCCAGCACATCCCGTCCCACTCACTCCCCACATCATGTCTCTTTGCCACTCCACACCCGTATTGGTGATGCATCACGATTCTCACTGCATCAACCCGTCACTTCCTTCATCGCTGCATGCGCTATCACCTGTGTGCATCCCACAAGAACTTACTGCCGTTGCTACTCAATCATACATGTGTGCTGCTGTGTGTATGTGTGCTGACGGGGCGTTTGCTTTGTATGTGCATGTGTGTGTGTGTGTGTATGACTGTGTGACTGTGCAACTACGCCAGCTGGCAACGCGGGGAGTACAGGGGTCACAGGGGGGGGTCGACAAGAAGAAAGCCAACTCGCACCTCGAGTACTGCCAGGTGATTCTCACAGTTATTTTCTCGTTCAGGCTCTATGTTGAATCCGTTATGCCCATGTGAATGGGTATCTCTGGCAGGGTGGCTTCACCGCACCACTATCCCGTCTCCATCAGCATCCCCATCCCCAACCCCATAACGATCACCATCAGCATGTGCCCAGCTCAGCCAAGCAGCACCTGGAGGTGGCTGAGAGGGAGGAGCAGCAACACAAGGCCAGCTCTCCCCCTCTTTTGTCTCACTCTCCCTCCCCCCCCCGCATACCACCCATGCCCATGCCCATCCCCATGCCCATGCCCATGACCAACAACACATCAGCATGTGCTCAGCTCGGCCAAGCAGCATCTGGAGGTGGCCGAGAGGGAGGAGCAGCAGCGCAAGGTCAGCTCCCTCTCCCTCTTTCTCCCAGTCTCGCCGTTCCCCTCCCATCCTCCTCATCTCATTCCTCTCTCTCACTACCCCCATATCCCATGACCCCATCGCTCACCACCCCATCGCCCATGCATCTTGTTGTCTCATTCTCCCCCGTCAGTACCTCCTATCGCATTCCTTCACTCCTGTTACCCCCCCTCCCCCTCACCACTTTGCCATTCATCCCTGATCTATTCCCCTTCTTCGATTCTCATCTCCCCTCCTCCCCTCTCCCGCCCCTCTCCTCTCTCTCATTCTTGTATGCGCCCCTCGCATGTATGCATGGCTCACAAATGCCCCTTGCATGTATGCCTAACCCGCCCCACCCCTACCCTCCCCCGTCCCTGTGTGTGCGAGCAGCAACGGGCGGAGGCGGAGAGGCAGGTGGCAGAGGCAGAGGCGTCGAAAAAGAGAGCGGAGGAGGATAAGCTGCTGGAGGTAGGCTGGATAGTGCTGGTGGGTGAAATTGGGTGCTGGTAGGTGCTGATGGGTGCTGGTGGGTGCTGATTCATTGGTTCTTGTCAGTGCTGGTGAGTGTTTGGAAAGGGATATCAGTGAGTGAGTTGCAGCAGTGCTTCTGTTCCCCATCGCGCTCCCTCCCATCCCATGTTACCCTGCCCATAGTGCGCTCTGCTCTGCTCTGCCTTTCCCCGCACTCTGCTCTGCGTTTCCTCCCCATTGCTGGGTGGCAGGCGGAGCGGCAGAGGAGGGATGAGGAGGAGAGGCGGCTGCTGGAGCAGGAGGAAGAGATCAAGCGCCGCATGGTGAGTGGGGTAGGCGGGGAGAAGGGGGAGTGCGTGCTGAATGGAGGGTGGCGGGTGTGGGGAGAAGTTTGGGTGGGGGGTGTGGGTTGGGGGTGGTAGGTGGGGTGTTGGGGGGAAGGGTGGGTGGTGGGTGGGTTGGTTGTGGGTACGAGATGGGGGGGGATGGAGGGAATGGGTGGCAGACCTGGTGTGTGATGTGCAAATCCATTCATGTCTGGTTAGTGCTTCTCCTCTGGCCTGTATCCTTCGTCTCCATGATCTGCATTCACTCTCTCTCTCTCAAATGGTCCGTTGTATTAATTCAGCAGGGGTACAGACATGCAGTTCTATCCATGATAACCTCAATCCCATAAGCCCATCAACTCACCCCTCTTCCCCTCCCCTCCCCCCTGAGTGACCCTCTAGCCCTCCAGCGTGTGGAGGATGTCCCCCAGGTGCAGCGGCCAGGGGTCCGCTGCCATCTGGGGGTGTGCTGCCTCAATCCCAGCCCTGGCCTTGGTGTGCAGGGCGTTCGCCTGGGAGCGCTGGAGGGCCACTGACCAGCGCTGGCTGAAGTGGCAGGCCATCTTCTTGGCGGATTTCGCCAAGGGGCTGGCCCTGAAGCGGTTCCTAGCTGCTGCTGTGGCCAGCAGTTTCAGGAACGCCGTCGTGGGGGGCGCGTTTGCCCCATAGGTCTCGACGGCCAGGGCGTAGAACACCACGTGTTCAGTGTGTCGGTAGTAGTCCCTCTCCTTCCGCTTCTGTGCCTCCCTTGCATCCCAACCTGGGGGTTTGCGGGCCGTAGGGTCTCGGTTCTGCAGCACAGGGTCAGTGATAGTGGTGTCTGTGATCCAGGTCTCTCCGCTGTCCGGGTCTTGTACAATCACATCTGCCTTCTTCGGGTCATCCGGAGGTGAGTACATCACATTCTCCAGGTATACCACCAGCTGCGCCTCCCTCGTCATTTTAGCCATGGCGAAGGCCAGCTGGTTGTGTGTGCGCGTCCTGTTGGGGCCTGTGCTGCAGCGGAGTAAGTGGTTGGGTAGGCTGCAGTCGGCTATGAGTTCTCCGCACTCGCACACGGTTGGTACATTCTGTCGGATGCCCATGCGGAAGGCCAGGGCCGCTCGGAACTGTCCCGGTGAGAAGCAGAGGTCCGGGGTCAAGGGTAGTGCCTGCAGCCACGCTCCCGCTCCCTCTCCTCTCAGGCTGACTAGGCGGAGTGTGTGGCCCATCTCGGGGGCTGACTGTATTGCGCGTGACTCCTCTCTTAGGGCGTCGGCCTTTGCCGCGTGCACTTCCTGGGAGAGGGCGCGCTGCAGCTGGTCCTGGGACGGGGTTTGCTGCTCCTCCCGTAGGTTTTGTAGCGCCAGCGGTGGCAGTCGCCCCTCCATGTCCTGGATGGTCACGGAGTGCGCTGCAGACGGCTGCAGGGCGTTGCTGTCGGCCCCCAGCGGCGCGGTTGCCAGTAAGTCCAGGGAGCGGAGCAGGCGCAGCGCCTCTGTTGTAGATGCCAGGTAGGCCGGTGCTGCTTCAGTTGTGGGGTCCGTAAGGCCCAGTCCGCCTAGGGCTACTGGGAGAGTTGGCTGTCGGAGAAGGAAGTTGAACTCGGCTTGTCGGCGTGGCAGTTGAATGCTGGCGGCGGTCAAGGCAGTGTTCAGAAATTCGGCGCACCATGTGTGCCATTCCGAGAGCGGTAAGACGTCAGCTGGGGTAGTGCGCAGCAGGTAGCCGACTCTGCGGCTGATGCAACGAGACAGTAGCAGGAGGGCGTGTTGTGGGTGGATGGACGCCAGAGAGCCCAAGGGGGCTGCCGCGTCTGTCAGGGTGCTGCGGACAAAATCAGAGCAGAAGCTCTGCGACCCCACTGGACTTCCCAACACCCGCACCCCCTCGCGGGTGAGGGGAAGGCCCATGGGGAGTACGTCCCCTCCTAGCGGCACGGTGGACCACGCCGACGACTTCCTAAAGTTGCAGGTGAGACTGTCCTGTGCCAGCAGCGGCGTGAGCTCTCTGAGCACTTCCAGCGTCGCCGCCGCGGGTCCAATCATGGTTATGTCGTCCGCGTAAGTGAGGACCGTGACTTCGGGGTGCTCCGCTGCTACGTGCCTGAGGTGCTGCTGGATAGACGCTGCGAATAACAGAGGTCCGAGGGGATCCCCCTGTCTGACTCCCCTTCCGCTGGTGAGTGCGGTGGAATTGAAGCATGGGTCCAGCAGCAGTGGTGAAGATGCTGCGTAGAAAGAGCGTGTGAAGGGGATTAGGGGAGCTAGTGGGGAGCCGATGAGTGCGTTGAAGAACGCGCTCCTCTCTACTGAGTTGAACGCGTTCTCAATGTCGAGCTGGAGTACTAGGCTGGAGGGCTGCACCGTGGTGAGGTCTCGGACAGCATGGATGACAAATTCTGCACCTTCAGGGACTGCCACGCCAAATTGCTGAGGTAGGAAAAAATTTCGCGTTTCTCCTTGCAGATCTGAGAGCGCCACCTTCGCCGCCAGCCTAAGCAATGACTCTCCAATCGCAATGGGATGTACCCCCCCCCCTGGTTTGGCGAAGGCTATAAGGCGGGACGGGGCAAGTAGTGCTGCGTCTTCAGTGGAAAGATTTGTCGAGAGAAGATGCGTAACGGCGGAGTGGAGGTGCCCTAGTACCTCGATGTTACTTAGCGCTGGATCGCGGTAGTGTTCGAAAGTTGACCCCGATGGGCCAGCCCCAATTCCCCTGGGGCATTCTTCAAGGACGTCGGAAAAGCGTTCCAGAGTGGTTGAGAATTGCGTGGGTGTGGTGTAGGAATGCACCCACTCGGGCAGGTCATTTTGGGGTTGGGGGTGTTTCGATTCCAGCTGCTGTAGTGTCGCAATTGTCGCAGGTGCTGAAGGCGAGGGTTGTAGGGCTGCTAACGCCTTTCGCAGGTTACCCCGTTTCACCAACCCCTCCGCACGTGAGCAGATTCCCAATGGGTCACGTTGGTGCTGAGGTGGTTCGGCCAGGTGCATTGACCCCAAGTAGTCAGTGTACAGCTGGGTCCAGAGGCCACATCGGAATAGATGCATCTGCTCCCGCAGTAGTTTCCATCTAGAGCTGGATCTCCGGCTAAGTCTTAGCGTGAGACGTGGCAGGAACATGAGGACCCGCCATGCTCCCGCGCAGTTAGGCAACTTGGAGATCCGAAGTAGGGCAGCCAGCATACAGGTGGAGTAGTCGCTGAGGATCTGCGGCGGCAGTCGGCGGACGATTGGTAGGTGGGTGGTGGAGGTTAGGAGTGTAAGGTCCCAAGTCATCGCGATCTGGAAAAGATCCTCCCACGAGGCCAGCTGGGACGCCGATAGTGCCTGGTCCGGGGGAAGCTGAGCCCTGCGATGCTGTCTGCGGCCGGTTCCTCTCTCCTGTTGCTGCGCTTGCCCCTCTCCTTGTTCCGCGTGAGGTGAGGCGGGATCGTCTGGTTGCCTCAGATCGGACGGTATATAATCGTCTCCACTCCCCTCTGTGTTGATATCCCTGTTTCTCCCCGCTTGCGCTGGTGTTCCTCCCCTCGCCCCCCACCTGGCGAATGACTGGCGCGTGACTCGTTCCGCCGGCTCCCCCAACCAGATTGGGCTCGGCAACTGGCAGGGCGGTCCCCTTCCCGCTTGGCCTGTGCTCCTCTGCCCTCCGCGCGCTCCTCTCGCCCGCCTCTCCCCTGCGTGCTTCCCCGTCCGCTCCGCGGGGTAGTTGCCACAGGTTCCGCTTGTTGCGCCTGGGAGATCGGCGTTGTCGGCTCCTCGTGTGCCAGTGAAGCGTCTTGAGCGTTGGCCAATGGATTTCCTTGGCGCTCTTGGCCGCGACTGCACCGCGGAGAGCGATCCTGCTCCCCGTCCGCTTCCTTCTGCACGCCCTGCCGCGAGCGTGCCTGTTGCTCCGCCGGCGTCCGCTGACCAGATCCGCCGCCGCTTCGAGGACCAGCGGCGCGAGTTGGCTCCGCGCGCGGGCAGGTCCTTGTCACCGCGGAAGCCCCCGCGCGCGGGGTTCGTCTTGCGACCCGGCGCAGAGGCTGTGGCGCACCAGGAGCGTTCGCCTCGCTGTCGCTCATCGGCAGCTCGCAACGATAAGCGGGAGAGCCGCCGCGATGATCGTCACGGTGCGGCCCGTTCGCCGCTGTCGCCTCGTTCGCCTCGTCGCGTGGCGTCGCGAAGCCGATCCCGTGACCGCTGTTCGCATCGTCATCGTTCGCCCCCTCACCGTTCATCTCGCCAGCGGTCGCCTGCCCGCCAGACGTCTGGGCGTCGGCCCCCAGCTCCGCGTTCGCCCCCTCCTGCTAAGCGCCAACGGCTCTACTCCCCTCGTCACGGGGACCGTTTTCCTGGCCGCCAGCGTCAGCAGGGCCCATCTCGCCCGTAGTCGCCTGTGCGCTCGAGCGCAAGTGGGCGTGCGCATCGTGGGCGACGGGGGGGTGACAGCCGCAGCGGAAAAGCGCGTCCAGCGCCGTCTGCAATGGAGCGCCGTCTTCTGGATAGGCTTGATGACGTGGAGAAGGAGCTTCGTCGCTCGCGTGCGCGGTCGGCGTCACCATCAGCTCCTCGCGCTGCTCCCGTCGTCCCTCTCTCCGTGCTCCTGCCCCACAATCCCTTTGGATCCCCGGCGCGTTCAGAGCGGCCGCTGCCTGCAGGGATGGGCTTCGTAGGTGCTGGTGGCGGGCCGCCGTGGGCTCAGTTTGCTCCGCCGCGTCCTCTTCCTGCTCCGCGTGATCTCGCCGTGTCGTCTCACTGTGCCCGTGCGTCTGCGTTACTTCCGCCGATGAAGGAAGTTCCCACGGCGACCCTGGCCCGCCTATGGTCGCTGGCGGCGTCCCTGCAGAGCCTTGAGCGGATTCTCCAGGAGTCATTTGACTCCATGCCGGTGAGCCCTCAGAGCAGGTTCTTTCAGAAACCGCGAGCAGATTGTCATGCGGCGGCGTCAGCGCTATTCGCGCTCGTAACACCACTGCAGGTAGCGCCCTCGCCGGGAGCAACCTCGGCCAGCCAGCTGGCTGACTCGGCCCTGGCTCTGAGGACGCTTGTAGCAGGCCCTGGTACTCCTGTTGACGTTGTAGGCGCCACCGTGTCTGTGGTCCGCCAGTTTGTGGCTGAACACGAGCGGAATGCTCGCTGCGGTAGAGGGGGACCGCATGTAGGCGCTCCCCCCTTGCGCGTATAGACCCGTTCCATCCTCTACTTGCTAAGTGTCTATGCTTGCTTTGTTTGTATCGGTTGCCTAAGCTACTACTGCTTGTTGTTTCCCCTTGCCATCCCTAACGCACGGCCGAAGGCCGCGCACGCGAGCGCCGGCGGCAGCGCCAAAATTTTCAGCACTAACTGAAAGAATGAGAGATGGAGAGGCCGCCGTGGCCTTAAGTAGTCATGGCAGAGGGCAGAAAGCAGAGGGCAGAGGGTAGAAGGGGAGAGGCTAATCCTCTCTCTCTCTCTCTCTCTCTCTCTCTCTCTCTCTCTCTCTCTCTCTCTCTCTCTCTCTCTCTCTCTCTCTCTCTCTCTCTCTCTCTGCTCTGTCCGTGTGATGCTGCTCGCATCCTTCCCTCCCCGCCTTTTGCCCCACACTCCCCTGGGCCCCATCCATGCCACTGCACTGCCTCTCTTGCTGCTCCTCTTGCTGCCTCTCTTGCTGCCTCTTCCACTGCCTCGGTGCTACCTCTGCAGGATATGTGGAAGCGCAACGAGAGGCCCAAGGCAGTGGAGGACGATGACGAGGGCGGTGAGGACGGCAGGGGAGGGGGGAGGAGCCGCAAAGACAGGGAGAAGGAGAGGCGCAGGGAGAAGAAACGGGAGAAGCACAGAGACAGGGATAGGGAAAGGGATAGGGAGCGAGAGGGGGAGGAGGACGGGGAGAGGAGGGAGAGGAGGAAGGATAAGAAGCGGAAGAAGAAGAAGAAGCATCGCGAGGGGAGGGACAGGAGCAGGAGCAGGAGCAGGAGTGACAGGGACGAGGGGGGTGAGAGGGACGGGAGAGACGAGAGGGACGAGAGGCATGAGGATGAGAACCCGTGGGGCTCCGATGGGGAGAGAGGGGGTGGAGGGGAAGGGTCGGGAGATGAGGGAGGGAGTCCGAGGGGAGAGAGGAGGGGGAGAGGTGGAGGAGGCGAGGGGGAGGAGGAGGATGCCCTGGCTGCAGCTGGGCTGGTGGATGAGGAGGAGGAGGGAGGGGATGCACGGGGGGACGGCAATGACCAGGTGGGTGTGGCTCCCTCTGATCTTCTGCGCATAGTCCGCCTGTCCCCTGCTTCTTCCGTGCTCCCTTGGTCCTCTCGTTTCAGACCTGCTTGCTTATGTTTCATCCCTAAATATTTCTTACCGTACGTGTCTGTGCGTGTCCGTGCGTGTCCCTCCTGGCATGGCAGGGAGCCCCCGCTCGCAAGCGGCGCCGGCAGCTGGCAGATTCGGATGAGGAAGAGGCTGGTGGCGGTGCTGAGAGGGAGACACATGTGGTGGGCAGTGCGCCTGATGGCGGGGAGGAGGCACCCCCACCCCCCACAGGCGAGGCAGAGGGCATGCAGGAAGGGTGAGGAAGAGGCAGGTGGCGGTGCTGCTAGCAAGGCGCTTGAGGGGTTCTGCGCGCCAGCCCGCCAGCCCGCCAGTCCGATCTGATGGGACGCCATGTCTTTTTTCGTGCATAGAACCACGGGTGCGCGCACGCTCCCACTTACAAACACCTCCCATTTGGTTTACAACAGAATTTCTTCAATGTTGTGCATGGAAAATGCAAGTACCGTAGGTTTACAAGAAGGTGTGTTGTATTACCGGTACGTCCACCATTTCAAGCGTCGCCTGTGTGTTTTACTGCGCGTATGACTAGTTCATTGCAATATTATACCTTCAATGACAATATCCGATTTTTGTTTGGCAATCGCATGTACCTACGTGAAACTTAGGATGGGAGCTTAAACTTTGCAGGCATACTCTTATCATTCATTTGAGTGGGATGGATCAGGTGTAGTGAATGAGGAATAATGGTGCATCTGCTGACATAGTTCTGGTACAAACATGCTTCGGCAATATCTTTGGTGTGTTGTGCAAAACAACACGTCACCCATTGGATAGACAAAGCATCATTTCATGTCGACATGAAAGTTGCGCTCGGCCGTTCGATCAACCCGGTAGCTTGCAGATCGACAACCATCATCATGATATCATGCGCCATGTGGCAAATACAAGATGTCATGGCATTTGTGTCAAAAGCAAGCGCTTCTGACATCGGTTCCCCGCGCAAATGTTGCCGGCGGCCCAAATTGTTCATGCTTTTAAAAGTTGACCAGAGGGAGTTTTTCTGGTGTGGGCTTTGGCGAGAGTTTCCGATTTCGTCTAGGTTCGTTTTTTTCGCGAGACCCAGCCAACCCTCGGTTTTCCCCCTGGTGAGTGAATCTGTCTTCTAAAGTCCCAAATTGCAAGTGCGTGACTTTCAAAAGCTTGGACACTCAACTTGTCAAGTTTTGAAAGCTTGACCCTCGCGGCCCGCAATTTGGGACGCGGGTTTTAAGCAGCGGAACCGCCGTGCTGCAGAACTCAACTCAAAATTTCGCGAGGTGGGTGTCCTCATCCTCAAAGCTCTCACGAAAACCCAACCATCTGCCGATGGTACGGCGGCTTGGGAAACAGACCCTCCTCATTGCTGAGAAACCTTCTACACCACTCTGAATCCGTCTAAATCCTGGATTTCACCACTGAACAAGGAGTTGTCACTGATGCTTGTCTTCCTCTCTTCCTGAAGTCCGTTCTGCTTTCCTGAATGCCATTCCTTCTCACAAAAGCTCACCCATGGACTCCTTGAGAAGTAGCTCGCTACGCCAAAGTCCATGGCTGCCGCCAGTTTGTTACCAACCATGAATAATTCTCGTCTCGATCGTATTCTTAGTCTCCGTAATCATCATACATGTTGTTCTCAATGTCGTCAAGACGGAGATTACCGGTTGTTGCAATCCATGGCTCCCGACGCGAATCAGTAATAATTTAATCATCGTTACGAAATTTACCGAGCTTTGCGTCTGATGTTGTCGTAACAGAGACATTCTTAGCTTAGAAGCTATACATTCGGAGCAGTTTCATTACCGTCATCCACCCTTTACTCACAGTTGACTGCACTTCTGATTTCTGTTCTAGACATCTGACGAGCGCGGAACAGAGGTGGTTTCCCGAGGTTCCTTAAACATCTTCTTCCGAGGCGTCGTCGCTCTCCAGCAGCGAGAACGGTTCGATTTGGTAATGACCGAGGTTGATATCGTGCCGGCAACAGCTGCCCGAATGAGCTTACGGGGTTAGCTATGAGCATCTCGGACGTCGAATAGCTAGACGTCGTCATCTAACGGTAGTGACGGAGACGGTGTGTTTTGACGGTGGCGAACGATACGGCCACTTTCAACGGTGATAGCTGAGACGGTCAGTCACGGCCGCTTCTGACGGTGTTGAAAAGTACGATTAGTGCTGACGCTGACGACGGAACCGACAATTTCTGACGGTGACGATCAAGAGTACGATTACTGACGCTGACGACCGAGCCCGACGATATCTAGCAGTGACGATCGACATGATGACTACAAGTGGTGACGGTGAGACTTTCCGACGGTGACGACTAAAGCGACTCTTTCCGAAGGTGACGACCAGGATTGCGATTTGTCACAGTGACTATCAAAGCGATGCTTCTTCGACGGTGACGATTGAAGTGACGTTTTCCGACGGTGAAGATCAGGATTGCGAATTACGTTGACGATCAAGAGTGCGGCTTCTCACGGTGACCGATTTGACCCTTCTCCTGAAGCGACGCTTTCCGTCGGTAACGATCAAGATGGTAACTTCTCACGGCGACAATCGAAGCGCTGCTTTTCGAGACGCAAAACGCTGACCATAACAGAGGCGAATGCGACGCCCGGTCGGAATCGCATTAACAGCAACGAGTGACGCTCATCCGGAGCTGCAAAGTGGGCGACGAGGGACGCTCATCCGGAGCTGCTTCTGTCGCGTGGAAGCACTCGTCACACGGCTAAGTCCCCTTCTCATCTTTATCGCTTCTGGTCCGTGTTTATCAAATTTCACTTTGTACCGCGCTATTTCCTCGAAGCATTCTCGAAAATCAAAGAGTCGTTTTGAAATAGCGTTTGGCGATGGTAGCACATGGCACTTGGAAGGCTTGAGCTCATACTAAAGTCCTAGGAGGGTAGAGTAGAATGCATCCATACTCATGCGCGCGTCCCTTCCTTACCTTGTCCCCCTTGCCTGCTAGCTCGCTGCCCTTGTGCCGTGTGCTACCATCGCCTCCCCTTTCACAGTGTCACAGTGCTATGTGCTTTCTATCTTCAACTTTTGTTTCCGTTAATCATTCGTTCATGTTATCTCTGCCTCTTGCTATCTATCTTGCTTCGACTGACTACTCGAGTTCCTATCCCCCCGCTCGATCCTCTTGCTCTCCTTTCCTGCACCCATCTTGTCCGGTGCTTTGGCTGCGTGGTGCGGGGAGGGAGGTCAATGGGATGATGCACGGCAGGCAGTCACAGCAATGTGCGAGCCTCCTGGAAGCCTTACGCCACCGTCCTGCAAGCACCCCCATACGGCTAAGTTCCCTCTCCCTTCGCCCTTGCCATGCTTGCCGCTTCTGCTTCGTCTTTATGATTGCCCACTGTTGTACTGCGTTCCTTCGTCACCTCGTGCTCGAAACAAACGAGGTCACTTTCGAGCGCGAGCGTTCAAAAGTTGAGAGAGAGATGAGCGGCGATTGGCGATGGTAGCGCATGGCACTGGGGCGGCTTGAGCTCATAGTAAAGTCGTAGGGGGTAGAATGCCCGCGTCTCTTCCTTACCTCGTCCCGCTTGCCTGCTAGCTCGCTGCCTTAGTGCTGTGTGCTACCATCGCCTCCCCTTTCACAGCGTCACAGTGCCACGTGCTTTTCAGCTTCAACTTTTGTTTCCGTTACTCATTTGTTCTTGTGATCTCTGCCTCCTTGCGTCCATTTCACTTCGCTCTTGCTCCCACTGACCACCTTGGGTTCCGTTCCCCCCCTCGACCCTCTTGCCCTCCTTTGCTCCACCCCTCTTTCCGGTGGCAGCGTGGTGCGGGGAGGGAGGGCGGTGGGATGACGCACGGCAGACAGTCACAGCAGTGTGGAAAGCGACGTGCGGAAAGCTACGTGCAGCTTCTGAATCCTGCTAAGTTCCCTCCTCGACCCTTGCACTCCTCCCTTGCCCCCACCCGTCCTTGTCGTTGCACCACTCTGTTGTGTTGCTGCATCCTGCGTTTCACGTCCGAAAGAAATGTGCTCCTGTGAGGCGCATGGCGGCGGTGGGTCAGGGCGCATTGGCAGCTGAGCTCATATAGAGTCCAGAGAGAGAGAGAGAGAGAGAGAGAGAGAGAGAGAGAGAGAGAGAGAGAGAGAGAGAGAGAGAGAGAGAGAGAGAGTGGGTGTAGCATAGAGTAGCAGTGCATTCATGCCATGCTCGCGTCTCTCTTCTCCCCAGTCCCCCCTCGCTGCCTTTGCTCGCTGCCGTGCTGCCCTTGGCCCCACCGTCTCCATGCGCCTTCCCCTCCCACCTCTCCCCGACCACTAACTTGCCGTTCCGCTCTGCTCACCATTCACTGCATGCATGCTTGCCGTTTTTTGTTGCATGCATGCTTGCCGTTTTTTGTTGCATGCATGCTTGCCGTTTTATCCTTCTGCCACTTGCGTACCCCCTGCTTATGATATCACTTGTCGTCTCACCTCAACTCTCTGCTCCGTTAACGTGTGTCCCTCTTCTCCTCTCTTCCTGCCTGCATCCCTCTATCAGCGCACCTACAAGGCGGCAGGGCAGCAGCAGGGGGCCAGGAGGAGCAGTGGGAGCAGCGTGGTGAGCGGGAGAGGCGAGCGGTGGGATGCCGCACGGCCTGGGCTGGCCCTGCTGACCACTGCTGCCGAGTTGCTGGACTACTGCACGGAGGGCTGCTGCTGGCCGTGTCAAGATCCCTCTGCTCCTCATGCGACTGCTCGTCACCCGGCTAAGAGTTCCTCATACCCTGTCTTCTTCCTGCTTGTTCTCCTTTCATCTTTCGCTTATCGAATCTTGCCCGAAACAAAAACGTTGCTTCTGCTTGGGAGGGATCAAAAGTTGACAGAGGGACATGGGCGGCGTGTGGCGATGGTAGCACATGGCACTGGGGCGGCTTGAGCTCACACTAGAGTCCTAGAGGGTTAGAATGCACTCACACTCACGCCCGCGTCTCGTCCCCCTTGCCTGCTAGCTCGCCAACCTAGTGCCATGAGCTACCATCGCCTACCCTTTCACTGTGCAACCTGTTGTCTAAAGCCAGGGTCTCATGTAAGCTAAGGAGCCATCGACTGCAAAGCACTTGAAGCTAGGTAACCAAGTTCGTGCTGGCAAAGTTGTCTCTGGTTGGGTTGGAAACTCAGCTTGCGTCACTGCCCCAAAAGCAATTGCACAACACTTTTGGGTACTTGAGACTTTCGATGAGTTGGGGGCATTTTAGGTTTGGCTCCGAACCAAGTTTCCAAGCCTAGATGGTTTGGTTACCCCCAGCGATTTAC